TTCACCGAATCATAGGCATGACGCAATATCTCACGTGGCAAAAGGTTGGTCCACCACAAACGTGCACGATGCGCCCGTGATCCAACCCTCGCAGCATCCAACAGTACTGCTGATCCAATCCATGCTCGGACTTGATGGACACTCGCCATCAACTGGGCCCGAGTGTCACCCAACAATGGTACGTTCTCCAGAATGTATGCTGGAGAACGTGTCTGCTGCACTTGGAGATGACGTAACACTCGCATCATCTCCCAAAACATCTGAGATCTGGGATCATGCAACCCTGTCCCATGTCCAGCGCGTGTGTGTCCCTGACATGGCCAACCCGCAATCACCATATCAATATGGCCAACGCGGTCAAGGTCTGGCGCCCCCAGCAACGAAATGTCTGAAGGCAACGCCTTCTGGAATCCTCGGACAGCTGATCGCGGCAACAACGAAGGAAAACGCCGCATCAACTGTGCAACATGTCGTGAAGAGATTCGACGTGCAGTCTCGTCCTTCTCCACATATAAGTATTTCCGTACGAGAATACCTGACTGCAACACTGCAGCCAAACCTGTGCTGATTCCACCAAAAAGATCCAGCAAACAAACGCCCTCTGAGGAATACTCCCATGCAATAGGTGTAGTAACCAATGGAGACAATGCGCTAGAACCACCAACTAGCCGATCAGCTGAAGCCTTCTCTGGCTCTGCTGGTAAAGAGGCTTCACTCCAAGCCTTTTTTACCAACCTATCAGCTTCCAACTGTAGTGCCTGGCACGAACTCCACAGTGGAACATCTAAGGGTGAAGTCACCGCCGCTGTGAAACTCACAACCTCCTCCACATCCTCGTAGAGTGAGGTATCGTCGGCAGACATGTTCCCCTCCAACAAGTCACCGGGCCAGGTAAGCACTCCGCTAAAACCCGCAACAGATGCCAAGACCGCTGATGAAGATCCAAGAGGTTGATCCCGAGAAATAAATCTCACTGGCAGCTCGCTCAGACGTCCATCTCCGGACTGCCAACCAGGACGATATGCGGCAGTCTCCGTCCAATAGTCCATCCGAAAGGCCATCGGGTATAACACCACTCCACCAACAAGCACATCATATGACTCTGCTGATGTAACCACAGCACGAACTCCAAACTGCGAGCTATCATGAGGGTGATCATGCCTCAACTGCACCGCTATGCTCTCCTTGGTCATAAAGTAAGACCTGTTGCCGGCGCCACCAAGGGATGTCTGGATCTGGAATGGGCAAGGTTCCAACTCTGACCTCCGAATGCCCAAACTAATGCATGCAGCCTTGCCCAACATCAAGGGCTGTGCACCAGAATCCAACAAAACTCTGGCTGGGACATACACCTGTCCAGTAGAACTCACTAACCGAAATAGACCACTTCGGTTGTCCATCATACATACGCCAGGAACAATACTCTCGCGATCAATGGCTGGGCGAGCTGGTAAGGACTCCATCCTCGCCGCTGCGGCCTGCCAAGACGTCGCCTCGAACAATGTAGATGTTGAGGATGGGTCCTCAACTGTATCCTCACGTATCTCGGCACTCGTAGCAGCGACTCTCCCATTCTCACACAACGTGGCTGCTACCCGAAATACTCGAGCCAAATCAATACCAGAGTCTATCAACTCCGTGGCTGAAAACAATGGAGAGCGCAAGACTGAAGTGGCCATCCGCATCACTGCACTAGATGGCACGGCTGCGTCCACAACAGATGATGTAAGAACCTCAGTTCTCACTCTAGTGTCACTAGGCGGTGCAGGTCTCATAGATGAACTGCTACCCACCTCTGACAACAAAAAGGACTGGGGAAGTCTAGACTGACGTCCACCCTCACCCCTCTGAGGGTCCAACTCCACAGTCGCACCACGTGGCTCTGAAGTGCGAGCACCACCTCTAGTCACTGCAACTGATGCCTCAACCTTTGCTGCACTGGCCAAATAGGAGAAATCCTCTCCCTCGTAAGATGTGGAAGTGCTCGCCCCCAGACCAGCCATAGCAGCAAGCCTCTGCTCCAACTGCTCAATCCGAGCAGCCATAGCGCTCTCTGTGGCGGAAGTAGCACTCGCTGCAGTACGCTCAATGGTTCCAGTACCTCTACCACCTCTACCGCCTCTGCCACCTCTGCCACCTCGGCCTCGTGGAGCATCACCTCCACGACCTCTACCTCCAGTTCTCAACTCAGGATGAAGGTCAAAGCAACGCTCTCGAGGATGACCCGGTCGATGACAATGATCACAGGTCACATGTGCCGGCTGTGGCCTAGCATGTGGAGTTTGTCCCTCTCGCTCCTGGGGACAATCCTTCCTCATATGGCTACCTCCGCATGTCCAACATGACGGTCCCTGTGGCTGGCCCGAAAATGAAGGCAGTGGTTGCCGCGCACTAGGCTCTCTGTGACCTGAAGGATGTCGTGTATGACCTCCACGACTCCCACTTATGGGGCGAGACTGTGCTGGGCTATGTGGGATACGCGAGGTAGTGGTCGTGTCCCTCGCAAATGTAGACGTCACCACCCTCTCCTCCACCATGTTAAGCTCAATCTTCTCAGAAAGAGCAAACACATGGGCTAATGTGGGTGATGAGTCGCTCATGAGAGTAGCATCACGCACTCTCCTCCGCAACTCTCTGTCCAGGATCCGATACCAGTACTGGACAGCCTGTGCCTCAGTCACACCGTGAGTAACTGAAATGAGCCGTCGCATACGAGTGTATGCCTCACGAAAACTCTCACCAGTCTTCCGCTCAAACTCCTGGAGGCTCCTCAACTTCTCCGTTTTCACCCCCTGATAATTCTTCCTCAATCTCTGGAAAAACTCAGGAATGGGGCTAAACGAAGGTACACCACTAGCATCTCCCCTCGTGCTGCCACCGGCAATGCTAACAGTACCGCTGCTGGTACTAGTACCAATTGTGCCAACTGCTCCACTTGTACCCTCGCTGATGCTACTACTCGCACCTCCACTGATGCCGATACTCGCAGCTCCACTGGTACCCACACCACCCTGGGTAATGGATGAGTAGTTCGGAGACCAATGCCGTCTCCATGCATCAATCTCTGCAGCATACTCTCTCCCAAACTCATGATAATCGTCCATGGGAGGCCCCTCCAAATGCTGGAATAACCCCTTCCATGCAAAGAAGGGTGTAAACAACGTGGGGTTACGCAGAAACTGCATATCACACCACGTGTCGAACTCCTGAATAAAATCATCAAGCTCGATGGTGCCCACTGCACTAGAGTAACGTCGAGGGCCCTTCGCGGCCCCGTACATCCCGTCCATGTCCCAAATCAATGGGGTGGGGACACTAGACGATATCACCACCAAAGGCTCTGTGTCTGCAACACTCTGGTCGTGCTCCGCAACAACTGGCAAAATAGGTGAAGGTAGCCGATACCTCAACCCGCTCCGCGTAAATCCACCGCGGTCCTCAACAGGACCACTAGACTGCTCCGTGATGACGAGACCTTAACTGGCACCACTGCCAGATCTCCACCCAATAACCCAATCCGCCCCTGACGTCGTGCCGCACTGAGTTACTCTAGCCCTACTAGCTAAGGGGTATGGGCAACCTAACCTGTCATCACAGCAAGAAGACTCTCACGGTCTACTGGTTATCACTCCAGTTTCACCGTGAGAGAAACATAGATAGACCGGCCGGTGATCAAGTCCAGCCCCCTATCGCCAGCACATAGGAGTAAAACTACTCCGGAAATCAGCGTCACCCCTACACGGGCGCGCACCAGGAAGCAAGACTGGAGAGGATCCAAACACAAGCAACCAGCTAGCAACAACTCTCCAGTCTAAAGGAAACACAACACAAAACAAGACAACACACACGGGACATCGCATCGCTTCGCGATCCCGATTCGATCTCCATCGCCCTCCATTTACGTGGGCCTCCAGTGCCTATGATGCCCTCTTCCACCAAATTGCAAACAAAAATTGTTTGAAAACTTTCTTTTTTTTTCTTTTTTTTTCTTTTTTTTTTCTCCTTCACACAGGGGTCACACTGCCCCTCAACAAACACACTACACACTGAAAGCTCAATATATTGACTACGTCATATATATATTTACAATGCTTTCAAAACATCACGTCACAGGTAGTGAAACCGGGTGCAAACTTCCGATCGCTTCAGGAACTCCTATCTAAACGCTACAAGTATTTGCTATCAATCCTTTGGGAGACTATCAAGAAATTTCTCTAGTACAAGAATTTCTTCTGAAAGACAGTCTTGAACATACTGAACATCTCTCAAATGGTCAGCAATATCCTATGGAAGGTCTAGTAACTCATCCTCACATACCCTATACTCTAGGCCGGATTCCTCTAGAAGTTTCTCTACGGCTAGTGCCTCGTCCCAATCTAACCCAGAATCTTTTTCTTCTACCACAACAGTGTTTACCTGATGCCCTTCTACTTGAGGTTGCACTGTCACTTCCTGCTCACGTTCCTCGGTGCTGACGACCTCCACTGTCTGGATTTCCTGTATATAACTGTCGTCCGCTTTTACTCCAAGCGGCATTTCTTCTTCACGCGTCAACACTTCAGTGTGTACAAGGATTGCTTATAGAGTATCTATAAACTAAATCTGAAGGGAAAACTGAAAACTATTTAACTATAAAACTATTAAAAGGGTTTAATAGTTTCAAAGAACTGGGCATGAACAAATTCACTTTAACCAGTGAAATCAAAATTTTCTATTGCAAACTTAGCACTGCTGTATTTTATCACTAGAAATTGATACGATAAAATAAAATGCTCCTTGGTTGCGGGTTTATATATACCGTCGTTGGAATCTTGTGCATGCAGCAGACGAACAGTGGGAAGTTCTAGTACCAGGTGCCGGATACTAAGATAGCTTGATAAATCCCCGTTGTCTCGTACGTTCCACTCCCTTCTACTGCTAAATTGACATCACCTTCTGATACAACCTTCAAAGGACACCATACTGAAACTGAAACTAAAGCCTTAAACGACACCAAGGCGTTCGACAAGGTCAAGGGTCTTGTTCATGGAATTGGAAACCCTTCCGATGTCGAGAAGAAAAGCCGAAGAAGACCAGGCCGCAAATCCAGACAGGTCGCCGATTCGAGCTCTTACACCTCTACCAGCGCTTCCGAAGCATCCCTCGCACCAGGTAAAAGGTGATGGGAATGTCCCAATAGGACAGCTTTCTCAAGAACTCAGTAAACTCGCAGTTTCGAGTAGTCATATGCCAAGCTCCAGCCCGAATCCAGTCTCAATGCCCAGTCCCAGCTTCAGAGTGAAGCCTGTCCACGACATGTCTTCCTCTGTATATTCGAAGTCTAACGGGACAGCGGAATCTAGCAACGGCGATGCGGTGTACCACGACCTCATTCCAACTAAGTCGACTCAGAGCGAGGATCGGAGTAGCTTCGCGTCAAGAAGCGCTAATGTATCGACCTCTTTAGTTTCAGATACAACAGCGGCAGTAGATTCCGGAGGCTTCTCAAAACCGAAGACTCCTCCAATAGGCATACCGAGGGAGATAGGGAAGGACGGAAGTAAGAATGGGAAGATTCAGGGTGGCCTCTGTATGAAAAGGTCTGCCTCTTTAGTAGATTCTAAGCAGCCTGCTCACAAAGGTTGGAGAATGTCTCCGTCATCAGTCACTACCTCAAGCAGTACAGGAAGTTTGGAAGCTCAACACGTTTCTGCAAATTCCGCTCAGTCAGTGGACAAGTCAGGATCTGCCCCTTCTTCTGGCAGCAATTCCGACAGAGGCCTTTTACAGAACCCACACTCATGGCCAGGTTCTAGTGTCCTGGGCTCACCGGGTAGAACTATGCACATGCCGTCTGGTAAAGTTTCAAATGGTGCCAGTAATGGGACGAGTAATGGACAAAGTACGTCTCGATCTAGTCATTTTAGTGACCACCTTTCCTGCGAAGACGCCGCACATGCCATTGAGACTGGACGCGCTTTCAGAGGAGTGCTGCGTGTGAATCCGCACTACAGAAGTGAGGCATACGTAACGCTCGAAGGAGTTCCTCTGGACATTTTAATTGATGGTCTTTGTGCACAAAACAGAGGGATGGAGGGTGATGTGGTTGCACTGCAACTGAATCCTTCTTCTCTTTGGCCTCGGCTCAAAGGGTCCAACAAGCAGCAGAACAGCAGCTAAGTGTTTGAGGAGTCCTCGGTCAAAGCGGAAGCTCAGACGGATGATCAACAAACGAGAGAGAACCCAATCTTCCTTGAAGAGCATGTTTCTGGAGTATGTGATGACATCACCTCCTACGACCTGCTACCCCACTCTAGGGGCAAAACCGATCAAGTTTCATAAAAATCACTCATTTCATCCCCCGTGTCTCATTTTTTCAGCCCGTTCTGCACCCTAACTAACTCCCGTATCTGCTCGATGCAACCTCGTCCACTGCAAACGAAGGTTCGAGCTACAGACCACCTTTCCCTAAAGCAAGAGAGCGCAGACCTTGTCGACCGCGACGATCATCTGTACACCACGGCTGCCTCAACCCGGGGGGACACCATAGGCACAAGCGTTGATGTTTTTCGAAAATAATAGAACCCAGCAAGAAAAAATAATCCCCGAGCGGACTCGAAGGTTTTCTGAAACAACTCGCAACACAACGAGCAATGTCGTACCCAAAACCCTAAGTTAACATCGTCACCTTCGACGCGGGGCCCCAAAACCTTACAATTGGGTGTGATGGTGGAGACTGGCTCTCGCTCGCTGGCTGCCCACCCGAACGCCGAGCCCAACCTTCACACTGACAAACCCACGAACAAGTGTCCACACAAAACCTCGAGGAGAACGGGAGTACGCACTGTAGCGACGGAACAGGTCGGCACCCCAACACCAACACCACTTCAAACAAGAAATTCCCTCGCCTTGCAGCAGATCTGCCACAGAAGTTATCTACCTGCGGACCACCAAAACAGGCCGGATCCACTCTAAACGTAATCGCTGTCGCCAAGACGGTCCCCGACATCGACAGAAGGTCGAAGGAGGAGGCAGGTGATGGACTGAGGAAGCACTCTGCAATTTTCCACTCACTTTCTAAACCTCTAGAAGAAATGGCGCAATCTTCTGCATTCGATTTCGAAAAATTCCTCGGTCATAACCGTCGAAACCGTCACATACTCCAAAAATCTTCCACACTGACCAACCTCAGCTCTCAAAACTCTTGCGTTTACACCCAATCGTCCCACTCTTCACGACGGGGAAAAATCTCACAACATCGGCACATTCCACACAGGAAAAAAAAACAGAAACCTGAAACTACGACAATTATCGCAAAGCGTCACGAAAACGAGTTCTTCGAGTGAAATAAACGAGAGATTCCCCACTGGAATTCCCGTCGGTCAATTACCCTACTGGCAACAAACCGTCACCGTCACAAACATGAGTCAAGCCCAACCCACTCCACATTCGGAGAATCCAGGTCGACGCAAAAAGGGAAAGTCACTCTACGCTCCCAACGCTTCCAGGCTCGACTCGAAGAACTAACGTTCTTCGAGCCGTCCCCGACTATATACCCCTCGTGACCGAACCCTAACTTCACCTCTAAAGATAGTAAGTGTCTGAAGTGCGTGAGCCGACTCGTAACTACATGACAAAGACGACGTTGGAAGAAGTCAATGTTTGAGAACTCATGAAAGTAGTAAGAAGCAAGCTCAACTCATTATCACAAATGGTTTGATGAAAGTACACAAGATGAGAATTATTCTTGGAAAAACATAGAATTTTGTATCAAGTAGTGTTGCTATGAAGTTAGGTTTGATGTTGATGAAAGACGTGAGTGAGAAAGTTGAATTGCCAAACGGGCAAACTGAAGTGATGGAAGCAATATCACGGAGTGTAGAATTATTCATAGGATGATACAAGGTGATCATTGAATGGAAAATAAATTGTTTAGCTTGACATGATGTCATCCTTGAAATGTGATGGATGGATAATATAATCCAAAGATAGATTAGAAAAAAAAGTGATTACAAGTATTGGTTGGAAGATCTATGGAGATAGAATTAGATCTGAAGATAGAAATTTATCTCTCTTTGTGATTAGTAAAACATTCATTTTTAGAGATGTTGTTTGTTTCCTTGGATTTATAAGAGATACTGGATTCACGGACAAACTTTGTGATTAGTAAAACATTCATTTTTAGAGATGTTGTTTGTTTCCTTGGATTTATAAGAGATATTGGATTCACGGACAAACTTTGTGATTAGTAAAACATTCATTTTTAGAGATGTTGTTTGTTTCCTTGGATTTATAAGAGATATTGGATTCACGGACAAACTTTACATCAATGAGTTCTTGAACGACATTTTTATGGAGTATAAAAATGTTTTTCTAGATGATATACATGCAAGATTACCACTAAAAAGTCAAGTAGATCACAAGATTGAGTTGATACTTGAAGTACACAAACTTGAAAAGCTCCATATTGTTTGGCTCCAAACGAATTGAAAGAATACAAAGCTCAAGTGGAGTATATGTTGAGCAAGAGATTCATTCAACCAAGTGTTTCAACCATTGAAGCTCTAGTGCTCTTTGTGAAGAAATATAGATCCATGAAACTATGCATCGACTACCGAAGGCTGAATCAGCAAACAGTGAAAAAAAAAATATTCATTACCTCTTATAGATGATTTGTTTGATCAATTTCAAGGAGCGAAGTACTTCATCAAGCTAGATTTGAGAAGCGGCTACAATCAAATTCGAATTGCAAACGATGATGTCCACAAGACTACTTTTTGTACTAGGTATGATCGCTTTGAGTATCTAGTGATGCCTTTTGGTTTCACTTACGCATCAACTACATTCATGGGATTGATGAACAATATCCATTTGACTTTAACTATGTTTTTTTAGATGATATATCGATGTATAGCAAAACTTTGAGTGATCATAGACGTCATTTACAAGAGATAATTCAAGTTTTGATAGACAATCAATTGTATACCAAAGTTTCAAAATGTAAATTTGGCAAATCAAAAGTAGATTATTTCCATCATAGAGTTACAACTCGAGTTATTCAAGTAATAAGTGAGAAGATAGATGTCATTCAGAGATGAACAACACTTGAAGAGCTTTCTAGGGCTCATTAGTATCTATTGTATATTTGTGAAAGGTTTTGCTCGCCTAGCTGAGGTCTTGACTTCCATATTAATGAAAGATAAAAAATTATGATAAGGAATTACACAAGAGTTAGCTTTTCAAGCATTGAAAAATGCTTTTTTACACGCACTATATCAGTTATATATAAAACTGATCCTAACCGTCCTATCAAGTTGGCTACTGACAAATCAGATACTATAGGTGGCATACTTCAAAAAAAATGAAAGGATTGATGACATCCAGTTGATTTCTATTCTTAAAAGTTGGTGGCGGCGGAACAAAATTATCACACAACAGATTGAGAAATGTTAGACATTGTGTTGGCAACGAAACACTGAAAATATTACTTGGATGATAAGGAATTTGTGATGAAGATTGATCATAAACCCTTGGTTTATCTGGAAACTCAAAAGGACCTGTCTAAATGACAAATTCGATGGGCTAAGTGACGTCAATGCTTCAACATAAAGATTGTGTACATGGAGTGTAAAGAGCAACTTGTGAATGCTCTCACACGCATGCATTGTTTGAATCATGTTATAGAAATGAAGATTTAAACCAATTGGTACAGCAAGATGACACATTGCACAAAAGAGTATGAAGAGATCATGAGATCACTATAAGCTGGAAGGGCAGAGAAGGCTAAAAGGTTGGCGTTCTACAAAGAACATATATGGATTTCGCAAGATCAAGAATTATGTACAATGATTTTATCCTAAAATCATGATACATCTATTGCAGGTCATGTGGAAGTGGATAAGATTTTAGAGAGCATCCAACGAGTTTACTTTTGGCTCAAACTACAAAAGTCTACGGAGTCTTACATTTGAAGTTGTGTTACTTGTCAACAAAACAAGGCAAGTAATCAAAAACCAGCTGATTTATTACAACCTTTTCTTATTTCTGAACAACGATGTAAATATGTCACCATGGACTTTGTATGTGAGTTATCAAAAACTTTGTTAGAAAATGATTTAGTGGTGGTTTCTGTTCACAAATTGAGCAAGATGATTTACATCACCTGATGTGAATCAACCACAAAAAGATTTAGCTCCACAATTTGCTCAATTGTACTTAGATGTTATTTTTGTGAATCATGGATTAAGCAAAGTCTTAATCACCGATAGAGGTATTCATTTGACTAGTAAGTTTTGGAAAACTTTGTTTAGTTTTTTTAAACCACGTTAGCAATGTCAACAACTTATCATCCTTAGACTAATGGTCAAACAGAGAGAGCCAATAAAACTATAGATTATATGATACGAGCATTCACATTAAGGAAGCAAGAAGAGTGAGATACTCTTTTGCATCTTGTGAAATTTTCATACAACAATTTTGTAAATGCATCCATATAGGTATCTTAATTTACCTCATGTACGGTGCTCATCCCATTACTCCATCAAGTTTGATAAAGTTTTCAAAGGAGAGGAGTTTTCAACTAAAGTAGTCGTGGTCAACAAGTTTATGGAATATATTCACCGAGGGCTAACCAAACAAATGAAAAGTTGTTAATTGCTCAGAATCGACAAAAACAGCATGATGATTCTCAATGTCAGGAGTTTTGTTTTCAAGTTGAAAATCAGGTTTGGCTATTTACAAAAAATTTGTCTCTTGTAAGAACACCAAAGTTTAACCCTAGATTCATTGATCCTTTGTGATATTGTAACGTGTTGGTCAAGTGTCATACAAGTTAGAGTTTTAGTCTCATATGAATAAACATCATGTATTTCATGTGTCACGATTGCGAAAATATGTACCATGATCAAAACAATTCACAAATCAACCAATGTTAACTCCTTTATAAATCTTGATCGCTGATCAAGAGTAATTTGAGGTAGAAAAGATCCTCAAGAAACGGATTCAAGTTCATTACTATCCCAAGGTTGAGTATTATGTTCAATGGAAAGTATATTCATCATACGAATCAACTTGAAAACAAGCTAGAAATCTAACTAATAGTCTAGCACCATTAATAGTTCAAGAATTTGAAAGGATGTGCAACGAGGACATTGGGTCTTAAAAGTAGAGAGATTTGTAATCATCTTTAGTTAGTTAGAACCAAAATAGAGATTACTTAAAATTTTTATATAGTTACCTTACTGCACACTCGTGATAGTTGTCATGTCAGTGATCCGCATGCTTGATAGGTAGAGAGTAAGTGTGTTAGTTGATAACGTCACATAAACAATCCGTGTGTTTGTTAGAGTTATCCGCCTTGTCATCAATCCACTAGTAGTGGGATGGATAGTGGGGTTAAGATCTTATCTCCTTGTACTTGTTGGTAAAAACTTTATAAGGAAGAGAAAAATCATTGTTCGTTTCTCTCATTTTCAAAGGTTATGTTTTCATTTTCGGATGAAATTCTCTCTAAACCCTAGTGTTACAATACTCTCCTTTTCATATGTTGGATAATTTTTTAGCTTGTACATCCACTTGCAATCAATCAAATATTTATTCACTAGGAAGCTCAACTAGCTTTCAAGTCTTGTTATCAATGAACAATTTCACCTCAAGCTCCATAGTAGCATTCGATTCAAGCTTATTGACAAAAGCTTGAACTTCTTTGTAAAAAGAAAGTTCCTCTTCTTCCAAGATCAACGCAATGTCATCATCATCCACTATGTCAATGACATGATCTCCAAAAATGGATAAATCAGCTCATAAATCATAATTTTCATGAGCTTTACTAACTGGATTTGATGATTTAGCAAGTATAAATTATTATGCGAATGTACTGAAATGATGGACTTATCAAGTACTCTAACTTCAAGCACATCTTTGTTAGAACTCCACTCAAATTTTTGTGAATCTAACATTCCAAGAGAGCTCATGTTTTTTTGCATATCACATATGAACCAAATTTGGATGAATGTAAGTTTGATTTCATCAAACAAATGAATTTTCACAGATCTAACATCTTCAATCTCACAAGATTGATCATTCTTCATAAGAATTATTTTGTTTGATATTGAAAAAGTACCAAAGAAATCTCTGATGTAATATATGTGATGAGAATAAGCACTATCAAAAATCCATACATCACCAATAAAATTTGATGAATTGCATACATACCTTTGGCATCACATAACAATATCTAGCAAGTCATCTTACTTCAAATCAAAATGTTCAGTCACATTTTTCAATAGAGTATCATCATCCTTGATCTTCACGTTACAATTCTTTTTAATGTAGCCACTCTTGCCACATATAAAGCACACCAACGTCTTACTTTCAATGGTCTAACTCTTAAATTTATCCTTGGATCCAAGGATAAATCATTACTCGAGTATGATTTACCTCAAATCATATTAAATGTCGTATCGGAAGAGTATGAGGTAGTAGATAATGTCAACATCTTTTACTACTGATGATCCGTCAACAGAGCACTTACAACCTTGTTTAAAGCAATGATCCATCTATCATGATGGACTTAGATGTGATAACGACTGATAGTATGCCGGCAACAAGCTAAGGAGATATAAAACTTTTCTCTCATTCGATATCTCCTGACCACAATATTACCAAATGCATTAATGTGATATTGGATCTTGGTGCCAAAATCTTTCATCTTGAAGCTCATTAGCATACTATTAATCATGAAATCCACTCTCAAATGCCTCAAACAATTGAGTTATCTTGTCATGTTCTTTCACATTCTTTAGTATCAAAGATTGTAGATGAAGAATGACGATACTCATGGCCTATTCCATGAGCTCTTTCCATTTGCTATAATTGAAAATAGTAGATTTTGACTTCAATTTTAATCCATGACCTTCAATTTCTCCTTAACTTACAATTCTCAAAGCAAGTAGTCACCACTTTTGTCGTATATGGCAATCTTGTAATCTCCTCCTCTGACCTTATTTGTTGTCATCTCAATTCAAAAAATGATGAAAGTTGCGGTAGTTTCTTCCCATCCGTTCATCCGTTATATTCCCAAGAGATCACCAACGATTCCTAGATCCAAGGAAAAAATATTATGACGAGAAAATATTTTGACGTTCACAATCAACATCAATCTGTACGTATCTGATCGTACATCCCATGTCGCCCATTTGTTCATGACGCATGTCCGGCACGAGGCAAAATGCTGCACATTTGCCCGTGTTTGCTTGCATTGGTCCGCGTCCATCGATTCAATTTATTTGATCCACAAATTTTTTATTTTATTGACAAATTTGTGAATAAAATTGTCAAAATTTTCTATGATTGCCGCTTGTCGCCTTGCTTGTCTTCCGTCTAATCTGCATTCGCTTACTTTCAAATTTGGCTTGAAAAGCATCACATTTGCATTTGTTCACCGAATTTGTGAAAACAAATTTGCTCTTCACAGCGTCTTTGCTGCCTGCCTAACTCTCCACACTTGGCTTGCGAAACATTGTAACATGTGAAAATTTTCCAATGCATCTTCATTCTTAGATTGATTCATGCAAATCTTCACCATTCAAACTTGCAAACTCACTATACAATCTGCAGGATTTTTGTCTGAATTGAACTGAAATTTGTCTTTGATCACGTCTAGATGTGTGGCATACACGTTGAGTCTAATATAAAACACTGTTCGAATGCACTGGATGATAGATGTCTTCAACCACGTGCAAGGACTGTAGGATATATTTAGGGGGTTGATAAATGAACATCACCTTTTTTTATACATGGACATCACCCATCTGGTGACTACACCACGCATTTGATGACCGTGTCACATCACTAGCTAGAAATCTGGAAAAAATAGTCGCCATCAAATGCACTACTATTAGTAAAATCGCAAGATCATCACGAAACGCAAAGAGCAAAGAGCAGAGATGTCTTTGACCGCACCACCTACAAGAACGTTTGCAACAAGCGAGGAAGTTATTGCCTACGTCAAAGCTTTTACCCATAGTGAAAGCTACAAGGTGAAGATCGGAATATCAGCGAAATTTGGCAACCTCAAGGAAGGAGAAGTAAAGAGGATCCATCTGTTTTGTGCTCACTGCAAGAAGCCTATCCTCAAGGAGACCCGCATCTGAAGGACAACGACTAGACGAATAGACTGTCTCTTTGAAGTAGTAGTCAGACGGGACTTGGGAGATGCTGATGCTAGTGGCGGTAATGATGAAGCCATTGGCAGAGAGCAATGGAAAGTCGAAGTGAAACGAACAACCACAAACCTCAAGACATTTCGGCATAGCCAACGGCCAGAACGTTAAAGCTGGAACAAAAGTTGATGACCGAACAACTTGCCCTCGCTTGTGTTATTCCGAAGCATATTTTGAGCACTCTCGCCGTTACGGCTTCAACTTCTGGATCTAACTCTGGCGCCCCTTCTACAAGCCGTGACCTTTACAACAAACGCGAAACTCAAAAAGTATAAGCTTGTTGGACGTATCTCACTTGAGGCGTTGCTTGATATGCTGATCGAGAAGAGGATAGACCATGAAATTCAACGAGATTCTGAGGAAAGAGTCACACATCTTTTTATGATTCTGAAAAGTGTCAAAGATTTGATGAAAGAATCGACAAACTCAGTTCATTTGTTCAATTGTACATACAAAGTTAACAAGTAAATTACTTGCCAACGCGATTGTTTGTTCATTGTCGTCATGCATCATAAGCAAACATCTTTAAACGATTCTGTTAATCGCCAGGTACAAAATGCCGATGCTGCATGGGTTGGATGTGTCGTCAACATACCGGTCGTTCTTGTTGTTTTACGCCATAATGAAGAGCGAAAAAACTGTCGACTATCTCTAGGTGATGAGACAGTAGCGTCAATTTTTTGGTAGCTCATTTCCAGAAGAGAAAAAACTAGTTATATCTCTTCGATAAGGAAAAGGCACTCATCACTGCACATCCGAGATCGAATTCTCCAAAGCCAGCACTTGGCACATCTACAACAATATTCCGGCCAATGTTAAAAAACATTTTCTCCGTGATGACAATTTTGAGACCTTGATGAAAACATATAAATCGTTATACTTTACCGACACAAAGGAAAAATTTGAAGCCATTTGGTTGTTGATCAAAGCATACATGCATGTTGTAGTCGCGGAGTACCTCGAGATCAATTACATGCAAATGAAAGAGAAATTTGGAGTGCCGTGGATCAAGAAAGTAACTCACTTTGAACATATTGTAGCTTCACGTGCCGAAGAAGGTCACGCAACTTTGAAGAAATGTTAATGTTTCCATTAGGAATTTTCTATCGCTTTTCGAATTGTTTGAATTGCAGAACACTCAACAACGAATGCTTATAAAGAAAACAATTGCAACCAACCGCGCGAGGAAATTGAATCAGCTTTCGAAGAGTTCAATTTGGGAACATGCCTCAAAGAAAATTTCTCATTATGACTTAAACTTGGTAAGTTTTGTACGATCTTTCGTTTGTTCATTTTTTTGTTTTCTTGTTCAGCTCTTCTTTCATTTGTTTGCTGGTTCAAGTTGGTTGATTTGTTCTCTAGGTAGTTTGTTTGTTCGTTGCGCTTGTTGAATCGATTTTAACATCGCTTTCTTTGTTCTTCTCTTCTACCTTTCCAGGCTTTGGAACAGCATCAAAAGTCGATGTCACTGCCCAAAGATAGTCACTGCACGCATATCTTATCCGTAACCAAAGTCATCCCATGTGCGCATCTGTTCAAAGAGTATAGTGCTGTCCCGAACCGACAACTTCAATTGCAAGATTTTCATCAGCAATGGTGGCTTCACCAACCTGTGACTCGGGTCCCGGCACCCGTCATCTCCGGATCTGAGGGCGCACCTGAGAGAAGCTTTGGCTAGCTTACAGGCAACCTTGTGGACAAGCACGACCACATGCTTCCTCACAACAACATGGTTTAAAGCGAGCTCTTGAAATGCTTGATACTGATGACGTACATGTCACCCTCGATCCTACCATCATTCGACCCAAAGTACGACCTGCTGGTGCACTGAACAAGAAAAATTGGAGCCAAAAGTATACCCAGTGCGATACCTCGGCCTTTGAAAGAGAAGAGGCTCCAAGCAATCCGCCAAAGAGAAGGAAATGGGGTGGCTGCCATCAATTTGTAGAGCATAACATCATGAGTTGCCATGTTTGTAGAGCTCAAAATGCGAATGCGAACAATTCGCAAAGTACTACAAGTTCTCAAATTAAACTTGGTGGCGTTAGTAGTCAAGGAGAAGGAGCAATTGTATAATGGATGATGTATATTCTATGCCATGTAAATCATTGTAGTAAAATCCGATGTTTTTTGGAAACTACTATCAAAAAGTATCAAAAGGTGATGTACATGTATCAAAAAGTGATGTCCATTTATCAGCCCCTGTAAAAAAATTATTGATTATGATTGATTAAATGTTATTTTTTGAAAAAATATATCAATTTTATAGGATTGATTATTATTAAAAAATAATTATTATTTTATTGCCAAAAAATCTTCAAATCATTTTTTATGTATTATGTATATAAAAACACTATCTACAATCATCAAGGATATTTTTCATGACTTGCGTAAGATACAGTGCTATTTTTTCCGAAAAGGTTCCTACGACCAAACAGGGCTTTAAGCATTTAGGTCCAAAGCCTCTCGCCTATACTGAGAAAAAACGTGAAACTACTAAACAATCCACAAAAAATAAGGTATTTCAACTCAAAGACCAAGGCCGGGGCAAATAATTAGTTTTTGTTGATGTGTTAACGCAGAGCAGCTAAAAACTAGGATCGAAGAAAGGATGTCACGCAAATAATCCATTAGTGCGACGACAAGCGATGTCTCATCGCCCCAAGCCTTCATCTCATGCAAGTCATTCATCTCAAGATGAAACTTTTGAGGACACGGCTAAAAATGAAACATCAACTTTCTTCTTGGCATGATATACTTTCTAAGGGTGATCATTTTTGTCAGTATTCCAACAAATTTTATCTTTCTTTTTGAAAATATATTTCTAGATAGATACCTTCAAATCGGTTAGCAGTCCATTAATATGATCAATTTTGAATGACACTTAGTGATAAATTACATAGATGATATTATCTCCTACATTTTTTCCATCATCAAGATGTTAACAAATTGAGAACCATGATCTTCATGTTACGACCCTACAGCGTATACACTTATTTGTTTTGACATACATATATGCAGATATCTGAATTTTCATACAATTATAGTCCCCACGTTGCTCGACATGACAATACAAACTAGCAATTAAATAAAGAGAAATTTTGAGACAAAACAAAATAGCAAATGAATCGATCTTCAATCAAACAACGCGCTTGAAGAGTCCAGGTGGACACTGGATGACAAGGCTTCGCACTTTCCTGTTGCTAGTGACACCTCCCAATAGCGACATAGTGACTTCCAACCCTAGCACCAATGTCTTTCACTATTGGGAGATTATTGAAATTGACCAAGCTAAATCGTACCCGATTAGCTGGGTCAATTTCAATCAACTGAAACTCTAATTTCTTGTGTCAAAGGCCATTCATCTAAAGTAGACTTGATATATTTTAAAGAAGACAGAGCAACTCTAGTCCTTTTAGAAATAACAACGAAATTGATAAGATGATGATCAAAGCTTACAAGCAATCCGCTTTTACTGAACGGAAGACAGATTTTCACAACGGGGTCCATTTGTTCTCTACCACTACTACTGACCCCGAGATTCTACCTTCAATGCTACCATGTAGTGCTAAGTGTACAACCAGACACAAGCCTTATCTATATTCCCTATCCTTAACAAAGAGTGGATGTGTCTGCGTTACTAACTGGTGGCTCTGAACAAATAAATCAAACCTCCAATGGATCTGAAATATAGATCAGAACCTCTGTCCTATCTCTATCTTCGTAACCTACAGATCTACTAACATGAACGTCACCTTGTAAATACAGAGGTGGAAGTCTTGCAGTTGAGGTGTAGGACCTTCCCATGAAAGCTGAACAAAATTTTGACGCATGATATATACCATGAAGCCAGATCTCAGGTTGCTAATTTTAACGGTGTGGGATCCTATCGGTACCATCGCCACCATCACGGCAACACAAGTTTAGAACCATGGATGCCAAGTAGGATCCATCATGCACAGGCTCTTAGGTCGCAAAGCGGCCTCAACCAGTTCTGTCACTCCCCGCTGAACTGACTGCGGCGGTTCTGAAGAATTTTCCTCCTGCAATTGATACAATTTCCACGTCGTTAGCTCATCTTGCAAATAGCTCATTACAAAGGTGTAGACAACCATTACAACTGAGGTGATACGATAGTTAAATTCATTAAACACTCATCCCAAGACTATGAGAAGCAATTAAAACGAATAACTCGCGTTTTGATTTCGTTCCTCGCAAGCACTTGAATGGTAAAATTGAGACAACTGCGCTTATTTATACGTTCATTGCGTCAACGATATCACGTAAGATCGAATTGCCATAGTGAACACCATTTATGAGAATATACCAAAATCTCGTTTGTTGAGAACTGGTCCGATTATAGAATAAAGGAAAAATATATACAGTTGCATATGTGATGATGACTGAGTAAACAATCCGGTTTGTGTTTACACATGGAATGCAGTAGTAAAGAATGACTTTTTTATGGGACTTAAAAATAAGCTGACTTATACAAGACTCATACAGTGCACGTATAGTGTTTGTTCATCCGAAACCTATTGCAGGGGTTACAGTGGAACTCAAATCGAACTTTTACAAAAAAAATCAAGTGTAGTATTAGTCTCGCTAAACCTCACCGAACTATCCAACGATCTGCTTACAACGAGCTTACAACACAGACATTAAACAAATTTCAAATAAATCATGCAAACAAACAGCGTTGGACACAAGAAAGAATTCACACCTCTTCTGGAAAGCATTGAGGAGCGATTGCCTTAACCCGGACCATGACTTGCTCCACATTAGCAGTAACTTTCTGTTTGAGTTCAGATGAACTGATACCACCCGGAGTAGTGGGTGCAGATGCCATACCGGGTGGTCGTCGCCAAGACCAAGATATGAGCTCATCTCTAAAAAACATAGACAGTTGGTGCTCCATATGCTGGTTCTGCCAAAAACGTTAATCGACATAAGCAAAGATGGATAACGAGAAGCAGTAGTAGAAGATTAATTTAATAAAGTTATTGATATTTATCTCTTTTCCCCGTTTTCTACGAAAACAGACTCTCACCTATAACGGAGACAGAACCTTCTTAAGACTTGTATCGAGTGTATGACATGAGGGTGTAGAAATGAAATAGAATCTGAGCTTGGTGGGATGTTTGCGATATGAGCTGGTAGACCATTCACTACGAAAAATTGTCGATTTTCCATGCCGCGTTGGCTCAAGGATACCCGAACACACAACTGGACGACGTCAGATGACATCGGCACGATTCTAACCACTTTGGTCGGAACTAATCACACTTGAAGAGGAAGATACTTCAGACATTTTAAACAAACGTCAGTAGAAAGAAATAATCAATAAGTTCCACTAACTTTCAATGCCAGCACGAGCGGTTTCGTCTACCTAGGTGAGGAAGATAAGAGAGAACTCAACCGGGCGGGCATAGTCTGACATAGGCCATGAATGAAGCACATTTCTATTCTAATATCAGTCCCCTTCTAACACATCCTTTTGATAAAAACTAACAACATTTATAGGAGAGATCGGTGTGATCTGATCACATAACTGGAAGTTGCCACATTCCATGTAGCGAATGGTCAGACTGTATAGACCCTCTCATAAGACCCTCATTTAATCATAACTGATAAAACTCATAGGAGATCCCGGACAACCCACAAACAATCAACAAGTTTCATGGAGCACATTTTTCTACCATCCTCCGAACCCGGAACACTGAATTGCATATAAACGATCGCCGAAGACGCCACAAAAAACTGCCTAATACATGAAACACGATTCCACCGGATTATGAGCCGACTCCAAACCCCCTTTCTGTGTCATGACTAGTAACACTTATTAAAGCATCGCTCAAGGATCCCAAAGAATACACTACAATGACCACATTATGTGAAATACATCTCCCCTCCATCAATCACTCCTCACAACATCTTTCAGTCAGAACAGATATACTCATATATTCCCATCTCCGTTCCACTAACAACCCACTGCATACTGCAACATTAAAAAGTACATATTCACTTCTAACACCGTCCGGTCAAAAGTAATGACATTCATAGACAAAACTCGCTCGTTGATTCCTGATAATTGCCACAGTATGGGAAGCACATCACCATTCGACATCAGTCCCTCTTCATACCCTCTCTTAGTCAGAACTAATAACAATTTCAGAAAAATATCGGTCAGTATCACTCAACATTCCACCAGAAATTGTCACATCCCATGAAGCAAATTTCCGGTGCTGATTTGAACCATTTATGACAACCTCTTCTGTCAGAACTGATAGTTCTCAAAGTGAGAAGCTAAAATATATTGAGCACATCCCTCCCACACCCTCTTCGGTCAGAACTGGAACGATTTTGAGAGATCCTATACCTCAGGGATAGGATCTCTATAATACGCCAAAAGAGAAGACCATATGACACCACTCACATCCCATTCTTATTTCAGTCATCCTGAACCATATATTCAGTCAGAACCAATAACCCTCACAGAGAAACATCGCTCTTGGATCCCCTACACCTCATTAAATATTGCCACGTTCCATGTAGTACATCCCAATCTCACTAAATTTTCTAACTCTTAGTCAGTCTAACTCCTTGGCACATTACATGAAACTCACCCCCTTTTGACTATCAGACCATCCTAACACTATCTATGAGTGAAAAAAAAATACGAAATTATCAAGATCCATTAACATCCCAGAACTAACTTCCACATCGTGTGTCTCATATCCCACATCTACTTCAGCCCCCACTAACAACGTGTTCTGGTTATAGCAGTTATAACTTATGGATATATCTCTCAAGAACCAACTAAAAATTCATCAACTTCTCCCAATCATATCTCTATTACTACATCAGTAACCTCTTAGCACCCCTATTAGTCAAACCAATAATTGAAAATATCCCTCAGAATTCCCTCAACACTCCACTAAACCCAGTTAAATCATAAGAAGGAACTAACACATTTTAGTCAAATAAACCTTTTTTCTTCTCCTCACGTCATAAATATAACAGCATCTTAGCTATATTGTATTCCATTCCATTTTGCTATTTCAAGAAGTACATCTAGAGGTCTACTTTTTTTCTTTTTTTAAAAAAGTGTCCATTGAGATATATACATAACATGGGTGCGTTTTCGTATGTAGAGTAATAATTACCTTAGAAGATACAACCGCTTGTGCAGCTGCACACATTGACGAAACAAAAAATCCTTCTACACCGAATGGGGTAAAAAAAGTCTGCAGATTACGCGTCAAACGGAAAGGGACCGGCTCGGAGAACTCCACAACGCCATTCGCATCATAAGCTGCCAGAAAGAATTCCATAACGAGAAGACTCAGATGGGAAATCAGGTTTGAATGTAGGTGTTCAATAGCTCCATAATGGATATTTGACAGCGATTCGACCTGATTGTATCTCAACAATCCCTTAACAGCAGATACTTTCACAATTTGATAAAGTCAGCTGATGAAAGTTGCAGGACAGAATGTTTACAGTTGTAGGCATTAAGATAAACCTCAACCAAAAAAATGAATTCATCAATCTATCAAGAGTCAAACGAAGTGTACAGAGAAACATACCAGGATGGAAGTCATTTTGAAACACTTTGCCAGTGTTTCTTGCGAACAATATTTTGTTGGGCGATCTTCCACCAATCTGTAGCATATAGGACATGAAACCGGAAAGGGCCAATTGGACTGCAAACTGTTTCTTAAAGGTCCAGAGATGATTGCAGGTAGGCAAAGTTTTATACATATATTGAGAGAACACATTTTCACTGACAAAGTTAGTGGTAATCTCGTTGTACGTATGTAGTCGTAACTCCACAACAGCATCATTCGTAAGCTGTTGCGTAATGGCCTGATTTAAACGCTCCTTGAAGTGAGTGATCGGCAAGTCAGCTTCTCGCCCGTACCTTGCGCAATTTATTTCATACACTTCGCCAAAAGTGCTGTACATCAAATCATCCTCTACCAACCTCACCTGCATTCACAATCCACAAGGTACTCTCGTGATGTCAAAAGTATTACACCAATGTCACTGAAGAATCATGAGAAAGATTCAAGACATACGATAACCTACATATTCTCGAAGCTGGAACATGGAAGTTCAAAAGCAACGTCAAACTCTTAAGAAATCACTCATGCCTCATCACATATTTACCTGTGGCCACACAGGAATGATAATGGGAGTGTTGAACGCTAGATGCCGATGTCGTGACTCTTTATGTTTCTCAAGTAGTCGATTAAGCACTCTAAATAGTTGCACCATACGCTCATCACTCCTTGCACTAGGAGTCAAAGAGGTTTGGACTAAAAAGTGACGTTGTGACCCATCACTACCAACCATTGTCAACCGTCGATGGCTACTACCATGACGTCGAACTATGGGTACATCTGCTCCGATGCGGTCCAACTTCACTGTATGATCTGGGGCTACTTCCTACAGGCGGAAGATCAAATGTAAGCAAAGCATGCATACAAAAGAGAACAAATCTGAACATACAATTTGCATCAGACGATGTGAGAAGATTTCATGAGTACATGACCATACTTTTTTGTGGTTTGAATGCCTGACTTCAAACTCAATACAATGCTTTGACGTTTCGAATTTTCAGACCGCATAATCGCACCCCTGAAAAAGTTCATCACATGAGAACCACAAACCTCATCGTTGAAATATTGACCAGGCACTTCAATGTCTAGAACGTGAAACTCCCGCAACTGTCGACTTTCCTCCTCTAGCTTTAAAACTGCGGGCAGCCTGTCCTCCACATTACTCTGAAGTACTCCTTTCCAGTGTTTGAGCCGATCTGTCAGCTCTGCCAAAGTGGCCGGAAAGGTTCCAGTACTCTCCGGATCAAGGTCTCGCTCGAAGTCTCGCTTATACTCATTCACAAACTCAACGTGCTTGTTGATAGTATCTGTTGAAAAGCAAGCTCTGCAAACTCCCGAAAGTTCTTTCTTCAGAGATTGTGGAACCTCAGCTGTAGTGGCTGTTGGATATTTATAACACCGATGCAATAGCGCATGAACAACAGCAAGGAGTCGTTCTTCCGGTAGTGGAACAAATCGAGCGCCAATCTCTGTGAGCATAACCTGGGCCATGAACGTAACGGGTGTGACAATCACTGTGAGAATTACTTTCCAACGAAGGTTGAAGGATCAGTAAAAGAACTGACAAAACAGAGAAGATAGTAAATGTGCTGGTCAGATTGATTCCCTCGTAGCCACATTGACGCACGTGTGCAATCCAGTTTTCAAAAGTTTTGATTGCATCGTGACACTTCACGCACGATTCCCATCCTGCGATTTATGATCTAAGAAATGTCAAACTATCTCTAAGAGCAAAATATTTTAGAAACGCGCAGAAGGAATGGAACGATACATGTTCGTTCGCATCCAACTTGAAGTCTGTACGTTCTTTTAACGAATGATAACATCACGTAAACGCAGAATATTCTCAGATTCGTTCGTAGTATTGACCATTCATGCTTACATATATGAAAATATTGGTGAAAGAGAGAGATCGTGATTAAACTCTAGTTACTTCCCTAGAATTAAATAATTTCGTGAAGAATTTGGTTTCGCCGAGTTCTCAATCAACCCGGACCTTCACAGTTGAATGAGGCCAGGCTGTTCAAGTGCTCCCTACTTGGGAAAACCACTTGACTTGTGTGTTTTTCCTGGAATAAAGACTAAATGGAAATGGAAGCAAATAGAGATCTGAAATTTCTAGAATAAGTGACATGTAATGAATTCAAATCAGTATGTAGACTGTTATTATTGCCAGGATCCAAGTTTACTATGTGCCATTGAGTATACACCAACGGTCACTCCCCACGATATCATTTGCGGAGATGTATCGTCAATCTATAACCTCACGTTACCAAGCAAAGGTGTGTCAATAGCCCCTATTTTGCAAACTTGGGTAAATATACACCAGAATGCATGGTAAATCATTACCGGCACTCAAGAAAGACCAAATAGATAAAGCTCAAGCTGCATAGTCAAGGCAACAACGAAGACCAAGGAAAATACAAAAGCGATAGAGGCAACACTATCACGTTATATAAATGTGAAGGAAAAAAAGTACTATATCAAAGGCATACTTCATGGTTACACTATTCCAAATACTCCATACTAATGGCACAAAAATACAAAATTTGCAATGAGCAAAACATGAATCTTCTCAAGTGGACTTATGAGTTATCATACTAAATTAATAATGTGAAGTCAACTTTCAAGTACATTATTCTGGAGAATTTTAGCTTTTAGTAGTTAACTGCGAATAAGTATGGCATACAACACCCAATCATTGCCAGCTAATTACTTTAAATAGTATTCCTTGATGCAAATTACCAGCTATACTCATTAAAAAAGACTCATCGCTTTCAATACCGACAAGAATATCGGGATCAAACGACTAACTGACAGCTGTGTGAATAAGCATAAGGTACTGATTTCCACTTGAAATCATGAGTGAGAAGTATTCTTCCTTCATCCGTAATATTGAAGAATAGTGACCGCATGACAAACAAAAGTTAAGATTTAGACAGAAAGAGGAGAATACTGGAACTTTTTGTTAAATAGTTTAACCGTCTTCCCAATGTTGAACTTAAGTACGTCACTGTTTGCCACTGCATAAAAAAAGTACTCTTATACGAAATAGGTGCACGGTCCGATTTGCCTCTTTTTTCTGTACTTATACACAGATTAGTTAGAAGTTTCCAGATATCCAGCAAGAAGCACTTCACAAATCATCCGCACGCTGGTCACATAAGCCCCAGTAACTATTCGCCTTGAGTGAGCTCCTCCACTTTGAGTCAAGGAAAATGAATTTCATAAGCAGCTACAACTCGACAAACCTATGACACGAGAGAATTTGGCTCGCATATTCCATAGACCCGCAATCCATGAAAATTTGAATAGGAATTGCACCCTGTATGCCGCAAAACGTGTAAGTCGCGGAACTAGTGATATGGTTTATGTTGAAAATGTATACATGATATGGTGTATGTTTCGAATTCTGATCTTAATCCTCCTAATAATATGAATGACGATTGAGAGTTTTGTTTCGGCTTGTAAAACCCAGAGCCGTGGAAACCTCGTTACATGTTTGTGCCCTTTCTCATTAGCTTCTTCACGTGGAGTTCGCACAAAGAACATTCTAAGAACTCCATTCCAGGCAAGTACAGTACATACATGAGGTTTCCATTGGTCACACCAAATTCCACAATTGGGCATGTGCCTCACACTGATCATTAAGATCAGTTTACTGAGAAAACACGCAATTATCCGTTAGGGCGGTAAGATGCTCGGAAAAAGAGGAAACAAAAAATTGAATGGGTCGACCAGAAAGGCTGATGACAGATTACTGAGAAATAAGAAGTTAAATAACAAGCCATATTGACAAATGCAGCTATCCTATGTTATCAAGTACAATTCCTACCGCGCTTATGAGTGAAGTATTTATATATACCACAATCTAATATGAATTAAAATGCAGTTCGGAGACCGGTGAGATGCGAGTAAGGACGCGGTCACCGCCCCTCACTTTGCCATCACGCCACTTGGTCGATCGTCAGTTTGTACCGAGATGTATACATTTCTGTCCATGATCAAAGAAGACTATACAATAACTCTGTGCAATTGTCTTAATCCCCAGAGAGGTCATCGAATTATATTATTGCATATTTAATACCCTTCCCACATGAATGATCAGACCGTTACCTACTATCTTTTACTGCTTTCGATACTGGATTTATTAACATATTGGAATGTGTTAAGAAAGGCCAGCCTTGGGATACTCCCTGATACATTATCAACTCAGAATAATTAACATTGAGAGTGATATATATCTGTGTGTGTGTATACTGATTGTAATAAAGCATACTTTCAAATATCAAATACTTACTATCACAAAATTCCGATATAGTGCATGAGGACAATTCCACGTAGAGCAAATAACAAACATACCTCAAGTTCAGTAGCGAGATTCGTATGCTTGGTTCTCAAGGCTTCCATAATATCCTTTGCAGCTTCAAAAGCAGTCACAGCTGGTGAGGGACCTGCCCAGTTGGAACCCGAGGGTCTTCGAACGGAGGTTTGCGACTCTCCTGCAGATGTTTGATTCGGCTCATTGGTACCACCACTAGCATCTCCTCCACTTGAGCCTCTTTCAGATTCTTGAGAAGGATTGGCGTTAGCAGAGTTGTCTGTTGCCGCTTGAGATACATTCCCAGGTTGTGATGACTGATTGTTTCCTTGATTATTTGGTCCTGGATCTGCGGCACCTGCAGGAGCAGTGCCCGCAGACGGGTTGTTGCCACTATCAGCCGGAGCTGCCTGTGAAGCTCCAGAAGGTGGTGCTCCCAGAGCTTGAACACGAGCTTGTGTTGCTGCTGCTGCTCCTCTTGCCAATTCGGCCTTAGTTGCTATATCTCTTCGCTCCAATAGATACGTTCGCAACCAGTAATACAAGGCCTAGTCATCCACGTGTTGCAACGAATAAGGCCTCAATGGTACATTGTTGGCTATAAATACTCAAATTGCATCTACGATTGAAACTCGAACGATCCATCCACTATTTTACCTGAGGAAAATGAGCCGCCAACTTAAGCAGTACATTCTTGCAACTTGCTGCCTCAGGTCTTTGCAATGATAGCAGAAGCTGCGGAATCCACATCAGCCAAACCCAGAGCGGTATATGATCCCCATACTTGTCGAAGGCTTTCCCAACTGCTCCGGTCTGGTTGTCAAAGCTGAGAAGATATAGTACTCTTGCTAAATGGCTTCTCCCATGCTTGCTTCCATATTTGATACCTTGCAACAAACAACTTACAGCATACTCTAGCCACAGTTCCTCCGATGATTCCTTGTAGACCTGCGGCATATCCAACCCATCAGAATCTGCGGGTTATCGTTATATAATCATAGTTCCCAGATACCACTCCCTGGCTTGTCCGTGCTCGGACACAGGCTCGGACACAGGAAGAAGAGAAAAAAGGATAAAGAAAAGGGAGAGGACTGTTTGTTGATAAAGACTCCCTCTTACAGAGAAATTAATAAGAGCGTAACACAGAGAGTTAAATTTAGAATGTTTGCTATAACCCAGTCACACTTTAACTCTAACTCTAAAGCATATAAATAGTTTCTTTCAGATGCAAGAAAATATGAAAATTGACATCATCGTGTCATGCACGGAAAAATCACAAACTGAGAAGAAAACAAGTCAGGTAGACCAACCTGATCACAGTGGTTCCCCCAACTGATCCAGCCTTTCGCAAGAAACTTGAAAAGCGATATAGCCATTGAAAATGCCTGATTGGCATTCTCGCTGTCGTTCAGTCTATTCAAGAACTCTCCCTTGAGCCGGAAAATCTCTGCTTTATGTTGAACTGGAAAATATTCCAGATTAGTTGAATTGATCAGGTTAATTCCACTAACGAGCTCACCCTTCATTTGCAAATATGCCTTGGCTTGCTCTCTTATTTTAACGAAAGCCTCCTGAAAAGATATGCAGTAACACTTCCATCAGAACAAGCTGTGCGCGCTTACGTTCTCAGCTTTGACTAGGAACATGCTGCTATCTTTATTAGAGTCAAACTAAAGACTCTAATAAAGTCACCAAAATTTGCTCGTAAGGCCTCGAAATGAGCCGGAAAGCAAACCTATACTACAAAATGAATTCAAGTTTATATCAAACTCTAACAATTGGATCGGGACTCACTGCTTTGACCTCTATATCATAGCAAAAAAGGAGTCCTTGAGTTCAAAACAAGTCAAGGATTCTAAAGGTGACGGATATATGCGAATGCCTAAGATAAAAATCGATAATAGGCGAAAACATGAATGATCACAGACTAAACTAGAAAAGCTTACAACTTCCTATTATGGATTTGATACTTACGAGCACTTCCATTGTCATGTATCCGTACATTTTGTTGAGAACATTCACACAAACTTCGTACAGACCTTGCTTACGAGCAACGCTAGCTAGTTTGTTCACACTCCATGCCTTGTCTCGGAATCCCAGTTGATGAAGCTGAGGATTCGTATCAGAGAGATTTGTAAAGGCAGTGATGACAGTATTGTACATATGGTTACGCCATAGGAGAAGGTCGTTCCAAACGGTGAGCTCGTCCCACTCATTCGGAGTCCGCAACCTCCAAGTTTCAAGAATATCTTTGAGGTCAACATAAGCACCCCCAGGACCTTGAACTTGGGCGATTTGTGACGGCCCTGGTTGCTGCTGCTTGTTACCGTTGGCTATTTCAAGCAAAACCCTGGCAGATTCTTGAAGTTCTACAAGCTGCTGAAACTGCTGAAGAAGAGGTATGTGGGACTGAACAGCCATCTCTGGCAGCTGCCACCACTGGTATAGGGCAAGTTCCACCCCTTGGCTAATTCTTTGATCGGCTTCATTAACACTGGCCATATTTACTCCTGTCATTGTGGCCTCGTTGAAGAACACGTAAGCTTGTACCATTCTATGTTTTGGTGATTCTTCAACTTGAGCTTTAGGTAAGACCGTATCCTTCAGTGATACCCAGTCGGGGATTTTCCAAAGACAGTCCAATTGGATCTCATAGTTGTCGACATTTCTGGCAAACTCTACAAGAGGTTCCCACTGATTTAGGCGGCGTGCACATGCAATCCACTGCTCTTCCCAAAGACACATCTCTGCTTTAGATGTAGACGCATTGTTATAAGCTCCCAGAGTAGCTTTGTTCATTGCCTGATAAAAGATGTCCTGAGCACGCTGCCAGAATCCATGTTGTACTAAGGACAGCCCCGCTCTTGTGTCAGGTGTAATGACACGTCTTTTCCACAAGCCGTACCGCACGTCATCTTCGTTTAACATACGATAAAGTTCCGCTAGAGCATCAAAGCAGCGAGTCTCCAGAGGAAACAGTAGAACATGACTTTCTAGTAAGGAAATGGCTATGTGCCATGCGTTGTAAGTCTTGCCAAGGAATTTGATAAGTTCGCTCGGAATCTTGGGCTGAGGTTGGCTCAAAGACAATCCTTCTAAAAGAGCCTGGACCACATTAGGTCTCTTGTCAAGCTGTTTACTGTGATACTCCTTGGAAAGAAGAGAAATCATGGGCTTAGCTAGCATAACTTGCTCCTCTTTCTGCAAGGTGGCCCAAACGATTGGGAAAACGAGGACCCACATGTGATAAGCAACATGGGCGTCTGTATGAGCAAGCTCTCGCAAAGGTAGAACCAAATCAGCAACCTGAGAACAACCACTTTCAGAATCAGTAAATCTCCAAGAATATTACCTTAAGTCCCTTGCTGAAGGCCAGTGAAGAGAAAGAAAGTGGATATAAAAATAAAAAAAAAATTAAAACACCAAAAATAGGAACACGTGACATACCTGTAGCTTGCTAAACTCGTTCAAGAACCTTGCATGCTTGTTGACCACTCCAATGAAGGTTGGTGGGGCTCCATCAGGTTCCTCTATTGCCTCGGAGTTCTGTTGTTGCATGCCGGATCGCTCAGGCACACCTCCTGAAGCCATTAAGGGGGGTACTTGTGCTGAATTTGGAGCTAAAGTTATAGACTCGTGCTCTACAAGAATGGCCAGAATTAAATCTAAACCTTGTTTCAACCAAAACACATCACTCAAAGCCTCCCAGTCCTGGGTTTGAATGATGTACTGTAATCTTGTGAAAAGAGTTTTTGCGATGGAGTCATGGTAAAGAGTAAAAAATTTGTGCCGCATTTCTGGGTCTCTAGCACGTAATCCCAACATGAACTGTCTTTCCACCTTCTGGAAAATCTCCTGTCTAACGGTCAAAGAATATCTGGTGCAAACAACTTACTATTAGTGCAGCAAAAAAATGTCAAACTTTCGAGATTTGAGCGATAACACCGTATGTAAGAATATTGAGGGCCAAGGCAAGCAGAACTTGTCCAATATCTAGCGGATCAAATCCATTGTTCGTACACACAATCTTACTTATTTGTATCGGAGCAGAGGCGGTGTAGCAGCTTCAAGTATTTGCTTTCCCATTCTTCCACCAATGGGGCGGACATGCTTTGGCGGTCTACTTGAGCAAGACGCTGTAGGAATGTAACAACATCCTTGTTGGTCAAAACCCCGGTATTGGCCCCAGTTCCAGACCCCTTAAAGTCGTTTTCTACCCAGTCTTTGACTATATCAAGAACAGTTAAAAGTACGCTTGCATCTGTTCCTTTCTCAGCCAGAATCGTTTGAATCTGCTGCGCAAAGAGCTTCTTGCAGTCAGCCAGCAGTAGCACTCGGCTACTCATGACCTTCAGTAAGGCCTTCAAGTTGACCGTAACGACACTAATATCAGTCACCACACGAGCTGATGGATTTGCTGCTTCCTGATCTGACCGAGAACCCTGCATGGAAGATATCACAAATCAAACTTATGTTGTAAGAATGACGTTCCTCTCTAGTTGAGAATGCTGGCTGACGAAACTACTTGAGTTACATACAGCAGAGACTGTGTTCTTAAGTAGGTGTGTCTCACTGCCTATAGACTACATAACCCGCGCCTTCACTTAGCGGTGCTAGTATTACGAGAATCGCTACAGACAGATATCTCGAGGAAGAGGGTCCCTTTGTAGTTGGTCACCCCAAGTCTACTTTTGGTCACGTGCCTCCAATTGCCCATTAAAGATCAGTACAAACAAAGAATAGAACGAAGTGAACAAATACTAGCGTACCAAACTTGTAAGTCACAAAGAGAAAGTCATCTTATGATAAAAAAACTAAAAAAAAAAGTAGAAACAAGGCGATGCAACGTACAATACTGTCAAGGTCATAGAGAAATACCTGTCGCGCAACAGCACCGGAGATTGTTACCATCTCCCTGGCTAGTCTTTGTATTACACGAATCAGAGGCATCATGTATCTATCTATATAAGATTTGTTGTTCTCAGTGAGTGTCTCCACGATGGACAAGGTGAAAGAGATAATCGAGCTAGCAGCACGACTTTCAACAGCCGGCTGTGTAGCAACTACAGCTCCCAAGTTCTTCAAAATCAGCTCCTCAACTTTTGCATGAAGTTGTCTGATCTCCGGCGTTACTGTTTGCTGTGACAATTTCACCTCTGTAGTGTTATTCGAATGTGACGGCTTTACATCCGGTGGAGGTGCTGGATCCACTGGATAGGCGTCAAACACCATCTTAAGCAACAAGCACAACGACTTCCCGATATCCGGAACTTTGCTGTTGAATACCGGCTCTTGAGTCTGCAACAAGTGAATGGAGTTGCGCGAGTCAGTCTGCATACAAAGGACACACAGAACGTAGTGTCTACCATTGTGCACGAGTCCGCAAATTCTCCAGACTCAATTTGATATCTCATTGGTGAGAAACGATCAAAGTTTCGACATCAACATCACTCATGGACTGTAATTGTTTCGAGAATTTATTTTTTGAAACTAGTGAAACTGAGCTTCTTAGACGTGGTAGATATGATCGATGGGCATCGAATGCTTCTGACAATGCTTACAGACATTTTACACTCTGAAGAATATCTGTAACTCACGGATTTCTTACATACCTGCGTAGAAGGCTGTGCTGTCGACTTCGTGTTAAAGGATGGCTCCAGGACCTGTAGTTAACGAGGACGATGAAGAGATTGTTAAACTTTGCTCAATTTCAAATCGAAGTAAGAGTCAGACCATTCCCTCGACTACTTCAGAAAACAAGAAGTATGATCTCGAGTAGTCAAATTTGAATATCAAAGTTACGCTGCGACATACTTGAATAATGTGCTGCACATTGTTGCGGATAAAAAGATGCGGCTGCTTCTCTAACACTTTGTTCATAACTTCCAGGCCTTGAGCAAGAGCTGACGAAGGATCCTTATTTTGAGCCCCTGGAGTCAGACTACTGAGTAGCTTCTCCAGATGATTGAACTTGATATTGGCTTTCGGCCAGACCTCCAAAGCTTGAGATAGGAGATTCAGTGCCTGTCTATACATAGCTGTCATCTCCTTGTCTTTTGTCTCAGTAACTAAAGCCACCTGCAGAGTTCAGAAAAGCCGGAAACTCATGTCAATAACAAAGTAGCTGACTCAACATGACTAGGGTTTGAGCCAAGCTAATCTGGGCAGAACTGAACCCAGTGTGACTTCCAGATCCCAAACTGAAGTCTTCACCGCCTGAACGATATCTATGTATGTAGTTACCAGCATTACTGAATGTACGAATTATGAATGAGAAAACTTAATATAATGAGGAAGTTCATGATACAATAATAGAACGGAAACCAAATGGATACGGCAAAGATTATTACTGGGTCATCTGAACAGAGCTTGAACATAAAGCTGAAGATACAAAGCCAGTAACAGATGACGCTAATGACATCAACTTATGAATTTAATGAATAAGGGCTCTAGCGTTGGCAAAGCACCAGGCCTTTAACTTATTAAGCAACACAAAATCGCATTCGCCGTCATTGTTTCTTTAAACTGTTCTACACACACTTCGCGTGTCGAGTTCTTGGGAGAAATCGCCAGTATCCTAACTTGTCCCGTTTTCCTTGGGACTAAACTGGAATAAGATCTTCTCGAAAAGGCCACGGAGAGAGGACGACATTTCACAGGTATGACCTCTATAAAAGTAAAACCACATATAGACATGAGTTTGTAAGAAAGAACTAAGGTGACTTTCGGTTGACCACAAGTAGCAACCCTGAACATTGTGAGATACTCGGGAAGTGTTGAAAATCATAAGTAGAATTAAAAAAATACCCTTATGAGGAAGTTGATAATCATTTCTTCCATTGCCGCATTTGGCTTGAACTCTTCATCGGGCTGGCCAACTGAACCAGGTGTACCCACATTCGGAATCTGGCCAGCAGCCCCAGTAGCAAGATTGGGAGACATACTCGCTAAAGAAGGAAGTCCGCCTTCTGATTTTACTCTCTTAGTCAAATCTTCAGATGAAACAGAAAGACCAGCCAAATCAGATGGGCGTTTAACTCCAACGGTAACTTCTGTCAACCCACTTAGACATGGAACTTCACCTCCAACCCCACTAGTACCTCCTGCTCCTCCTCCCGCTCCCCCTCCACCTCCTCCGGTAGACTGACCTCCTTCACCTTCTGCTGGCCCTTTGTACTCGGCTTGGCGTCTCTTTTCCCAAGCAACAACTAAACCAGCAAGGTCAATTGCCAACCGTCGATTCTCATTAGGACTGTTCTGAGGTAACCCCAGGCGGCTTAGAGAATTTACCATTTGTGGTACAAATTGAGCCCGGCAGGCATAAAAAAGATCAGAATGACGCACAAGTAACTGGAAAATGTGAATCAAATTCGGCACTGAATGTCCTTCTTCGACCAGTATCTTCTTGGTGTAGCGAATCCATATGGGTATCTTGTATTCACCCAATGGCAATCTTCTGGGTAAAGCTGGCATCAGGATATCGAGAGCCTGTTTGACAAGTACCCTGTTCTCTGGCTGACAAGTGCGTAGTAGTGCCACAAAAACCTGGAGGAATACATATCGAAAACGTCATCTCACAATCTACAACTAGACGCGTCTATGCGTGAATGCCAACGTTAAGAAACAAACATAACATTCTAAACTAGACTCTAAAATGGACACTGCTATCAAGAACTCTTAAAATCTACATATTTGGTGCACCTGGAGTATGATCTTCTCTGGAGCCTGATACGCTTCTAGGAAATGGCAGACATTGACAAAAGCCCACTGCTTGCTGGCACTCTCCTCCCGCTTCAGATGATTCCATCCAAACTTAATGAGCTCCTTCCGATGATGGACCAAGTCATTCGGCAAGAACTTAAGAAGCAAGGTTGCCAGCTGTAAAAGTTCAATTCGTAAAGGCTCGTCGTACTCAGCACTGACCTGCAAGATACAGATGGTGGCCAACCTGTGAGAACACTGCGCACTTGAAGTGGACACGTAATGAATCCGTCTGCTGTGGACACTTTTGCGGCAATCGAACAAAACTTTGGAAATTTGGAACTTTTAATGAAAAAAAATTCAAATTAAAACTCCCAGCTTGGAAATCTTAAATCGTACTTCCGAGCAATTTCAAACCATACTCACCTTCAGCAAGTTTAGAGATGCTTGCGTGTGGTTCTGGAAATAAACGCCAAAGAAAAGCTTCGTGCATCAAACGGACATGGACAAACAATGACTGCTTCTTGAATTCCTATAAATAATACCTCTTCCGGTGGGTCAAGCAGCTTCTCAACGATGGTCTTGATTATAGCAGAATCAACAACATCCCAGCTTTGGTTGTTTTGAAACGCATGGGTCAGCATTGGAAGAATCAGCATCTGCATCGCAACGACTAGTAGGTCCTGGGGTAATGTTTTCATCTGGAAAAGGTTCAAAAAGCGGAACAACACCGCTTTTTTCTCCTGAGGGGTGTAACCTTCAGCCACCTGCACAAAAACTTTATTATCAGCTCCTAAACCTAACAGGTTTGACCTACATATTTGAAGTAATTTCTTTTCTTCTTTTTTTCCTTCTTCCGTATCGAAGGACATGACTGAACAAACAGAGAAGAACCAGCAGTTAACCTAACCAATAAAAAAGGCATTTCTAGCAGTGGAACATTTATAGCACTGGAAAATATCACGCAGCACCACAATGAGTAGGATGGAGAGCGGACCTCGACCATGAAGAACTCTTTCAAGAACGTGTAGTCTATACGCGTCCGTACAAGAAATATTGATAACATATCAAAAAGGACATCAACCTCGTTCTTGTCATGTCTCAAGTAGTTCAAAAAACACTTCACAAGTCGCTTACTTTCCTTAACCTGACAAAAATATCTCATCACACGTTAATCGCATCTCACTGAAACAAAACCAAATTTCATTCTGGAGGACAAGACCCAATACTGCCAGAATCTAACTCAGGAGATTATCACACTAAGTGATTCCAAATGTGTAATTCGCCCTTACAGTTCAGGTTTCGTCAGACGGTGCATTCCACTTCGTCCCAACGTGGTTGAAAACGATCAGTCACCGCAAAGAGCTCTCATGAATCATTATGTTTCCAATACACTGCTGCACTGGAAACTTAACTAACACAAAGCTTCTATGTCTGCCACGATACTTTTCAATACCAAAAAAGTGTACAAATTTCACGCTCTTCACTTCACAGGATCATGTCAGGGAGCTCGGCAAGAGCACGGGATACACACCTGATTCAAGGATAGACCCTGTTCATTTCGGAGGCGGGTTTGCCTGGAAGGAGACTGCCAAATTCGAACAAGAGCATCGAAAACAGTTCGCTGGGTCCTAAGCCAATCGGGCATCAGCTTCACCAAGGCAGAGAGAAGTGCAACCCCTTGAAACTGGACTTCAGGAGTTTGAGCTGCGGTTCCACTAGCTGTAGACATTCCCATAAAGCCTTTGCTGCCAACAGCATTAACGGTTCCTGATGACGTAGGGGCTGTAGGCATCCCCATGGCTGCAGCTGCTTCTTCGGCTGATGGCGCAGCCTGGCCATGTGAAAAAGCAGAAGCTATGATCTTCTGTGAGGACCTTGAAAGCTCCTCACGAAGCGGTTGTCCTATCTCGGATCTGATTATGTCCATGAATCTGTTAACAGAGCGCAACAGACCACAAGTTTATACATTAAGCTAAAATGCCACATCGTGTGAAAAAGGCTGCTATCCTCGGCCTTTGCAAACCTGCATGGCAGTCGGAAACTTATAATTTCATACTTTCATTCATATATCGGTGGGAAGTGTGCTTTCTTGAAAAGTACGTAGTAGTTGACGAACAAAGAAGAACATGATAGATCCTGTGAGCACCCAAGTGCAAGGACCTCAGGCTTCAATTAGAAAAAAGCCTGAGGTCATAAGAAAGTACATACACGCTAATGCTTCCTTGAAAAGAAAACCCAATCTGCCAATTCAGGACAAGTATGGACACAAGAAGCACAATCTTCCTGGTATATCCATGAGTACACAATGAAAAAATTTTGAAATGTCTTGCATTACCTTCGAAAATATGGTGGTTGAGTTAGTCGAGCCAGGAAATAATCAACCGCCTCGGTCGAGTATCTGTTCAAGAACTTAGCAAGAGGGACCCTATATGGACTATTTAACTCACTGTACACCTGCCCCTGTGGAAGTGCTTCCTCCAGCTTAATCGTAAGGGCTACGAGAGGATCCAAGAACCTCGAAGCAGCGGAAGGTAGAAGGTGAAATAGCTCTATAATAGCTGCTCCCATTTAAAAAGACGACAGTGTTCATAACAAACATTTCAAAAAACATGTGTCAGCGGAACATATTAATAAAACATCATCATCTGTACATCTCCCTCCATGCTTCTGAAACCCGCGCACTACCAGACTATGGGTCCGTTGAAGATAGCGGGAACCAAAGAACGAAGAGTGTAAACGAAATACAATAAGTATGGTGAGAAAGAAATGATATCATACTTAAATGGAGAATCTCAACTGCAAAGGAGATATCTTTGAGAAATACATACCTGCTGCGATCTTTGGTTCTTCCCCCTGCTTCCAAGACTTTTGAGAAGCCGCCAATTTATCTGGCTCCAGCCACTTCTTCAAGTGCTCCATAAGCTTCTCTCCCAACGTCACATTGAACCAATTGGATAGAAGTTCAAGAAGCCGAGCTAGCCCTTGGAGAAGCGGCATTGTCAAATTCTTGTAATGTGCTAAGTTAACAAGAATTGGCCTCAAACTGCTCTGTAAAAGCTCTTTGGGCATCTTTTGTTGCTGAATGACCTGCGATGGAGCCAGTTGAGGAGACCTTTAGATCCAACAGGCTTACTAAATTGACATCCACATATTGCTGCAGGGACAACCAAGCTCACGATCTAAACCGAACTTCCACATCGCTGACTTGGCGGTCAGGCAATGGCGTGTTGAAATATATAGTTCCAGATCCTTGTATTTATGGGTTTGAAGCTCTCACAAAACATGCTTTGCATGAACGTATTTCAGAATAATGTGCACTACTCACCAAAGAAAGATATTAAAAAAAATTACCGTCCTCCTTAATATCATATATTTCCTAACAACTTCCTCATCTAAAATTTTGTAATTTCAGTATAGACATATATGTAAACGTTGAGCACAGAAAGGATGTCTTGTATTTGGTATCCTGTCGCTACGAGTGGCTTCTAATTACTTTCTCTCGCGGACGTGTTTATGTAATTCCCCCGTTGATTTGCTGTGAATCCTTTAATTTCCACAACTAAACCAAGAGAGGACCTAAACGTACCTAGCGCTTTACATGCAACTGATGGCTGAAAGCAACCAACCACAAATAAATACAAAAAAAACGTAGAATTCCTCCCCAACAACATACCAAGATTTGCATTCTGTAGCATGGAATAAGAGTCAAACCTGGCGCAGCCCTTCTTTAGCGACAGCAACTATCTCAGGAGTGCGACATGTTAGAGACTTGAAAAACATTGCAATAATTCGAGACCGCAGATCGGAATGATTTTGGGTCTTGAAATCAGCCCAAGCCATGGCTGTGCAGAGAAGCTCGATACAAACTGTTCTCAACCTGTTTAAGGTGACAGCCATTTTTGGATTCATGAACTTCCCATTTAGCATGGATTCATCTGCTTCTGCTATTTGTAAAGCTTCTTGTAGAAGACTTATGAGCTCTGGAGTCATCTTCAGTAGAGGTGGTCGTAATGCCAAGCAAAAATTCAGTGCCAATACAGTTCCAACCTGTTAGGAGAAACAGGGCACGGTCAAAGGTAGTCAAATAAACTGAAACACATAGAACAAATGAAATTTATGTTCCCAAAGGAACTCCAACTTCAATTGATTCAATTGTATTGAATCAGTGAGCAGGCACAAACCCAAAATACTAAAACCACTAAAACTTCGTTGATGGATATATCCTAAAAGTGGACATGAGTTGAAATCCTCAAAGCATTCCGAGTGGAATAACATGTTTCTATTGAGCAAGACTAAATACAAGTACTAAGTAGGAGCAGTAAGGGCTATGATGATATTTAAAGGCATGCTAAGAGGATGAAATGTAGGATAGCTGCAAGGGCAAATGTGACTAATGGTGAAAGCTTGTTCCCTCAGTCAGAATTAAGCTATAGCCAAAGCAACGCTCAGCACAAGAAATCAAAACTGTTTGTGAAATACATAAATTCAAGCAGCAAAAGTAACACTAGTCGTTCGTAGAGTCGTTCAACAGATTCTAGCACCTAGAGGAACGAAAAGTTGGCCCACGTTACCGACAAGTTAACCCCAAAAACAAGACGCTAGCTTGGACTCTATGAACCCGGTAGAGATATATAGACTAGTAGCGTGAGCGTCTACGGAACAAGTTTAGAACAATCCACACAAACTAAGGGGATAAGGTTAAACAAACAGACATTAAATTTTGTAGAGGATGTCAGAACTATACAATGGGTGGCATACCTGTTGCTCTGCATGCTTGCTTCTAAGAGGTCTGATTAGAAGTGGTTGTAGCAGCGGCGGATGAAGTGGCTCCAGCAATTCGGAAACCTCACTACCTGTCCTACTTGCCAACAGGGCCAAGCAAGACTGAACATTCTTTCTAACAATAGCAGTAGCATTGGGATTGAAGAGCTCAGCTGCGAGGACCTCCACCACACCCTGGAAACTTTGACGTCTTTCCTCATTGTTTGCCTCATCTGCTACATTATTGACTACTCGCAGCACCTGTGTTAAAACTTGGCTAGTTTCCTCCTGCTCCTTGTTTGCATGGTGAGGAAGCCGCTTTAAAACATAAACCAATGCTCTGACAGCTTTCGACTGGAATGCGCATAGTGTATCGACAGGCGCCTTCCCGACCAATGCACCTAATCCCATCACACCACCCATTTGGGATTGCCATGTGCTTCCATAGCAACAGTGCAACAAACGTGGTAAGAGCTGTTCAAAAACTGGTATCCTTACACCAGGAGGAGGAGAATAAACCGGGTTCATAGAAGGGCTAGAAACCATCATTGGAGTTCCAGGTGTACTTACACCTCTAGGAGTCAAAACTCCTGTATGCTTAGATCTTGCAAGTAGGAGAAGAGTTTCAGCAAAGACGTTCAAACCATTGAGGGCAGCCTTGGCGTGTGCTCGATTCTCATCAGCTAAGACAGCAACCAGTGCATCGAGAAAGATAAGTGGATCAAGCTCTTTTAAGTTCGCCTGAGGTCGATTTCGTGCCTTTGCTGCCCCGGACGCCCCTCCTGCCGAGCCTACACCTAACTGTCCGGTGGTCACTGCTTGATTACTTGAGGATGAATCAACATGGAATATCATTGCAAAGTGGCGACATATGTTGTGAACAAAATCATCCTTGGGCTCCCGCAGCTCACTTTCAGCACTGGCTGCAATCACTGTCATCAACAGAATCTTGAACACACTCCGTTCGGCCATGAGTTGAGTCTTGGTCTTCACCCCTAAGTCCACCTGCTAAAAAAGTCACGTCAGTTCTAGTTGCTAAGTCTTGACCCAATTTATCTCCTTATTCTTATATGCTTCACCAACTTAGGAGATATTCGAAAGATTTATTTCAAGACAACTTGATTGACGCTATATTGACGCTACGTGTAGTTGTAATACTATAAATCAACCCCAAAAGGGGAATATATGAAATAACTGTCATTGATAACGAAAGCAAAATATGAACGGAATAGTAATGTAAAATGGTACCGCACATCACCTTCATATTCGTAGTCTCCGCTCTGCGTCTCGAAGGATCAACCGATGTAACAAACATGGTGCTCAGTTGTCCAGCCGTTACGCCTTCATTACCTATGTTTCCTTTCAGATTGAGCACGGAAGACAGACAAACTCGCAAGAACTTCAACGCATGTTTCCGATAGAAGGCATTCACACCTGTTTGAGTCCCCATCACAGCTGCCCTTGCCAAGTATATACATCGATCTAGGGGTACAAGAAAGGATGTCGTGGGCTCAAATGTCAAGATAAGCCGTAGACCATGCTCCGGATTTTCTTTGCACTCAAGCGCTAAGGGTTCTTTCAAGAATCTGCGGTTTCTTCCTCCCAGCTTGCCAAGCAATTGTAACGACTTCGCCCCCCAAGGATAGGGCTTAGGTCGCAGATGGGACCACAAGGTCAAGATTAACTCCGACATAACGTTGGCCATACTTGGCTCCAAAAACTCGGGGTTCAGACTATCAATCCAAAATTCCAGCGTCCTCAAGCCCAAACCAATAAGTTCATCACTACCTTTCAATGCCAGCACGAGCGGTTTCATCAACCTAGGAAGGTGTGGTAAGAGAGAACTCAACCGGGCGGGCATAGTTAGACATAGCTCCACCACAAGATCGATCATGTCCAAGCCTGTAGGTCCTTCTACCATGTTAAGCAGCATGGTCAGACAGCACTGCAAAGTCGAGATGAACTCACGGAACAAGAGCTCAAATTTTCCACCAGAAAGTGCCCGAAACATTATACGGAGAAGTTGCATATATCCCAAAGGCTTATCAACCTCTGTTGCATTCTTCATGCAACATTCCATCAATGTCAGCACATGAGGCTGCAAAACACGTTCACAGTCTGCTGGAAACTTCCCAACTGCCACGAAAAGATACCGAAAAAGATGAAGCACCAACTTAGCTGCAGGTAAGTCCGGTTGTTTCAAAACTTCAAGTTTATAATTTACAAGGTAATTTACAAGAACATCGGCGAAGTGTCGAGTCACTTTTTGAGTCTGAAGAAGCGTAGAGAATATTTGTAGCAGCTGCTGGTTGCCGAGCATACACTCAAAGAGATGAGGCATGCACAAGGAGAACATGTCCATCAGGTTCCGATGCTCCATCACGGCAAAAACTGAGGAGTAATGGGTAAACATATCCTTCTCTTCATCCTTCTCTTTGAAAAGGGCAAGGCAATAAACCCCACTTTTCAGGATTCCAGACGCAAGTCGTACCTGCATACACCCAGGCCCTCGAAACCTCTGTCAGCTTTTACGTCTAATCAGGTTACTCAAGAACAGGTTAATTCGTAATCAGAGGGCATGATAGGATAAAAGTCGGTGCAAAGTAGCAGATAAATGCCGCAAAGAAAGTAAAGTATTAAAGCAAAACAGATCTCGATACCAAAAGCCAACTCAAGTGGTGATCCAGTTTTGTTCACTTGCACAAGAAGCTAGAAAGATATTACGTTCAGAGAAAATTCGCTACCTCGTCCTCTCTCATTCCCTTTGGACCACCTGGAGGGGGTGCACCAGGTGCCTGAGGAACTTGCATTTGTGTGGCATTGAAGTGAGTGATGCTCCAAACCAAGGTTTTCATTCCTGTAGAGCAAAACAACTTTTGATCTAATATCCAGTAAAACCCACTTTCATAAAATAAAGTCCAGCTACTGACAAAAAAATTTACATACACATATCGCAAGACATTTGCTGCAAGACCTTCGTTGCTTTAGTCATATCCAGTGATCCGAAGTCAAGTGTCTTGAAACGAGAAGTCGTCAGACTAAAAGGCTGGGTGAGTAAGAAGATCAACTAACGAATCCAACATACGTGCGCGAGCCACGGAAGTACTTACCCATGATTAAAGTCTTGATCAACTGTTTACAGTCACTGACCTCCTTCGAATGCTCCGGGGGCACAGGAAGATTAAGTGCAGACTGCACACAGAATAAAGATAGGTCATTTCAACATTTTTTCCTTCTAGGCACAAAAGTAGGAGTGTGTCGGTAAGCATCAGAGGGAGACAGTCGTGAGAAGAACTTTATCTACATAGATAGCATTTCTAGTCAGTAAGTTCTCTAGACAAGATGCGAGGAACTGGGACGCAGACTTTTCCTAGTTATACGGCAAGACACTAGGTCAGGGTTTGAAACGGTATTTCCCATCCAGCAAACGAACATATATTTCATTTTTGCCTCTTCATAATCAACGTTTCTGCGTTTGCTATATTCGACAGACAGCTCGGCTGTGGCCTTGCGGCAATACACGCCAAATTTGGAAATCGCTGTAAGAGAAAAACAATCACATAGCTTATTCAGAGACAGGAAATCGGAATAAAAACCTGCACAGGAAGCTCCAACCTTGACCTCAAGCTGGGTCGTTCCTTCCCATCCTCAGCATCGCCTCCCTCGAGCAACTGTTTTCATCCAGAACGATACAAGGGGGTGTCAGTAACCTTTACGATGCAATTTATATAAATTAATCGAAGAATACACAAGTCTGCCTTCGACTATCTCAGGTACATGGAGAACTTGCAACAACGGTCCGAAAAAAGTAACGACACAAGGATACTGTTGATCCATAGGTAAGGGAAGTCTCCTAATTGCTTCAGTACGTGACAGCAAAATTCAAATGTCCATAAAACATGCGGGGAGACATGTACGGAGGGCGGGGCTGACTGACTGACAACTGTCTGACCGCAAGCTTTCATAACAAGAAAAAGACTGACGGAACACGAGGCATTTGTTCTACATGGCCAGGTGACTCTCGATTTGAAAGACAAGCGCTCTTCTAGATCGCAACAAGAAGAGAATTGACTTTTGCTTCAGTAGTAGAAACTGTGGGATAGGCAAAGGTTGTCAGGTCCCATTTCATCCTCAAAGTTTACCTGGGGAATCATGTGCTTGAGAGTACCAAACTTGCTGACGAACGCATCCAGGATCCGTCCCTGCAGACATCGACACCAAGCCTAAATTACAAAAGTACAACGAGGAACTCGATATTAAGGTATATGTAGACTAAAAGCAGACATTTACTATCTCGATGCATATAAGAACATAGAAAATGGCACATACCAATAATGCTCTGCCTTCTTCTTTGCTATGTTGGTCAACTCTTCGACTGAAAATTGTCTCGACCTGGAAGTCCAAGAAGCCATGATATTCCAAAAAGCTTCAGAGAAATGTTCACAAATCTGTTTCCATCAGGGATACGTTTTCACCCGAATTCTCTTTCCGAGCTTCCCTGAATAAATTCTCGGGTGGGTTTATGAAAAAGTATTATGAGTACTGAATAAGTTAATTTATGAGAATCACCCTTTATGCGTAAATACGCCTACCCACGCTAACTTAAGAAGCAGAAATAAGAAACTTCTCGGGGCAGGAGTGTTACTTCCAAATATGTCACAATCAAGGATTAAATATTTGTATTTTCCATTCCTAGTATTTTTCTCCATATCCAAAATAAAACGAGCTTCTGGAAGGTTCCAGTACCAGGTTCAGCATTAGGCGCACGCAGGTCGTTTGCACACTCAATGGGAGGGAGGAATCATGTACATTGCGCGAAAAAAGGTAGACAATGCGAGAGAGCTGCAAAACCAAGCAACTACGCATTAGTCAAGATATTTTCATAGGAGGTTCCATCCGGTGGTGAAAGGTTTGTACAGACTTACGGCATTAAAATCCATGAGAAACGGCCTCCAATCACAAGAGCTATACCAACAACAATAAGAAATGTAAGTACTGAGAGTCGAAAGTCAAAATGACAGTGAAAGTGGAAAGACCTGAGGAAGAGAAAGGTCCAGGCGGACGTGATGAATAAGTTCGGCTAGTAAGCTGTAGGCAAGAGGACGAAGTGTCTCGTAACAAGCCCGGCCGGTCCCCACAAGAACTCTGTAATGGAAGTAAGCAAAGTCATTATATGCATACAAGAGTCTTATCAATGCCAAGACTTCATCTTCGAATTATCGGATTGATTTCTTACATACTTGGTGGCTAATACTTGACATCCTTGCACGAAAACATAAAGCTAGCAAAGTGATCGCAAGTAGCGTTGACAAATTTTGTTGGCAAAACGAACCGGAAGATATGATGTCTATCAGATAGAACCTAATCGGCTATGAGGAATGTCACCTTTCATCAAGAAGTGTGTCTATCTGGGAAAAAAAGCCCCTTCGAAAGTCCGTCGCAAGAACATGTCTTGTTGCCACTAAGAGCTCCTGCAACATCACAAATCTTCAGGCTTATGATGCAATATGAAAGTTCGAACAAGACTGTCAATCCGCTCTCACATCCAGCATAAGTGGCTATAGAATAGACAGTGACCCGAATAGAGATAATCTGTCAGAGATTATAGATTGATTGCCTAACCCTCGGGATTACTCCACAACCGATATACCTAGTGACCAGAATGCACCGTAAATCTAAGACAATGAATCGGGAATTAAAAATCAATTTCAGTAGCCTCTGAAGCCGCCGACTTGAAGGCGTATGGACAAGACAAGTGTTTATCTTCAGTGCAACAGTCCCCATGAACTGTCCAGGAACAAATGCCAGAACAATTTGGTCCTAGCGAGGATTAAATGATCTGAATATCCCAAAACCTAGTGACGAGGATTCCTTGAGCAGACACAAGACTTCATCAGCACACATCTTCCTGAAGATTCATTACACCTACTTCGGAATATGTGTGTTGATGAAGTCTTTGTGTCTGCTCAGAGCATAGAGAGCAAGAAACCCTAGTCACGAGGTTTTGGGATTCTCAAGAGCAGCCTCAAGCTTGTAAAGAATGTCCACTACAGATGAATGAAAAAATTCAATATTTTGGATCTGTAAGGTTTAGAAAGAAACTAAGATAAGCATGAGAACAAAGTGGAGACAGGCGCTACCACCATATTTGCTCACAGCTACCTTTTGCCCTCTTTACCAATCAAAGTGGACAATTTGTCCGAAAGCGCGAGTTATTATTTAACATACGACAGTTGTGCATCTTCATAAAAAACTGTCAGCCAAGATTTAGGAGAATGTTAGTTTGTCCGTTACAAATACTACAACTGGCTCCAGCAGAAAGTGAAGGCGTGCTGTGACGAAGCAAAGGGCGTTACATCAATTACAAGCAAAAACCCAGAGTCCACAAAGTTTGTGTGAAACAAGGAGTCTCCTGGTCACATTGCTGTGACATGTGAACTAGCCAAAGATTTGAGAAATCTCTATAGGTGAGATAGTCAACAAGACTGTGTTGGTCCCGATATAAAGTGAGGAGTGAGGAAAGATGAACGAGGCGATCAATCACGACTAGAAGGGGAGAGAAAACTTCGTATATTGTCTTCACTCTTCACTCTCCAGCCTAAATAATATAGACCAAAAAAAACCTCTATGAGTGCTAGCCCAAAAGAAAAAGACCCTGACAAACAGCAGTGTAGCAGCTTCAATCATGAACAAATCATGAACAAAATCCCTAAGGCACGGCGCGAGGCGATTAGGATGAGTGAAAGGAACTTTCTGGCCGATAGTTAAGGCTTCAAATCATGCAGAGCAATAGCATACCTTTCGAATGGAGACCGAATCAGGGCAGCTAACCAGGAGATTCACAATACTTTTTGAGATGCTTTCTTCATGGGACCGTATACAATCAGCGAAGCTTTTCAGCAGATACGTGAGAAACGACACAGTCTGCAGCATATATCCAAAAAGGCCAAATCAGCCACTGTGTTCGAACAATTCTGCACATCAGCGGACGAAGAGGCAAAGCAGAAGAATCCTAGAATGCATTGTACATTATCTTATAGAATTGTCCTCGCTCTGTAACTCTACCAAATCAAAACCAAGAAGACTCAACCCACCTTGACTTGAGCACCTTTCAGTTCCGCAAAAGCATTCTTCAGATTAGTCGGTACTTGAGAAGGACCGGTAATGGATATGGCGTTGACCATCAGAGGAAGGAGTAGAGGGATGTTGGTCTGCAAATACCGAGGATAAAGCTGAAACAAAAACATAACTATGAGAGGGCACTCCGTGACTACTTTGAATGACCGAGTACTGGGATTCAGCTGTCCAGGAGCTGGACCACCGCCAGGTGACTTCTGCTGACCCATGTAGCCCATGTTGTGCTGGGAAGCCGCCAACTGAGCATCAGCGGCTGTATCCTCAAAAAAATAGCTCACTGTAGTCTTGAAGTTTTGATATATCTGCGATTAAAAACAATCAATTAGACAGTGTACGGGAGCTGAATCAAAGTTTCTAACTTCAAGCTTCACAAAGAAGTGTCTTACCTTGCAGACAAAGTCAAGGAATGGCTGCACCTCCGGCTCCAAGGCGGGTCTAAAATTCTTGTGAAGGTCGAAGATGATCCGGAGACAAATAAGTCCATTTTCCTCATTGTCCGAACCCAGAACATGCATAGATAGCTTGAGCAACTCCTGGACAGAAGGTCGAATAACTTCGCTGTGTGGCAGCCGATTGAGTATCTCAATGACCACATTTCGAAGCTTATGTTCGTATGTGTCGGTCACCTGTGGCTTGGTGCTTTGGGTGAGCAATTGCGAGAAAACACTAAAGTAACTCTTCAAAAAGTTCAGATACTCGGAAGTATGCACAATTTCGATGCTGTCTCGAACTTCTGTTGCCAACAACAGCCTATTTTGCATAGCTGAGATACCACATAGTTAAGGAACCGAACAACCTGGTGCTGTTATTTATCAATAAAACGTTACGACAAAAACCATAAAACAAAACAATAAACCGATGTGCTCAGAAGCAAAGAACCTCATAACATGGCAAGCTTGTGGACATTTGGGTGCAATTGTAATTCACGGCTGAAAGGATACACAAGTCGGGGTCCAAGAATTTGCGAGCATGTTGATCGAAGTTGGCCGTATGAATCATTGTTCGAGATACTAAGTCTCAAACCTTTGAGTTGAGAACGAAGTGTGACCCCTAACATCTACAGGCATGGTCAATTTCGAAGCCGCACTTCGAGTTGATAGCTCGGGGTTTACACATTTGCAGCTCGGCTGAACGAAACTCGCGCACGATAAAAGCTGCAGTAAAAAGCGAAACTCAAACAATAAATATTCCTCTCGGCAACGCTACTGACTGTCTCTACGGCAACATCTGTGACAGGCAACCACCTCCAGACTCATTAAACTCAATACAGCTCCTCGGGCCGTAAAACTCGAGAAGGTGAGAGGAGTTCGAAAACGACCCAACGCCGCATCCCCACTCCCTGCTTTCGAAACAAAACTACGCGACAAGCACCATTCAACTTTGAGTTCTCACAGCTCTTCGCGTCAGCACTTTTGCTCGAGACGAGCTCCAGACTATCTTCACAAGAGAACGAGAAAGCAAGGAGAAGCGGAGGTCGCGGTAAAACTCCTTTACTACGATCGATTCTTGAGGAGGTGTAAACTCTTGCGACGGGAGAAAGAATCGACAAAGCTCTAAACCCTCGTTACGGGCAGATTTAAAGAGAAATACGGGCAGTAGCTACACTTGCATCGCAAGAATTGGTCAGCCAGTCACTGTCAAAAATCACCAGAAGTTGTCAAATACACTAATGGCATACCAATTTGGTTCGTTCATCAATTGTGTAACCGGGACACTCGATACCATCCACGACAGACAGGACTGGAGGTTTATTACTATATTAAAACCAGAAGGAAATGAGCGGGAGATGTCATTTTCAGCAACGGGAACATCCCGGTCACTGAGCTTTCATCCCGTTTCTTCGACTTATACTGCATGCAGCATGCAGTATCTCCACCCTAGGCTCCAGAGGAGTACATTGCATTAAACAATTTCCTTTCATGGGGCATCCCTTCACTGCCTTGACCTGTCACGTAGGTTGCTGTCACCTGCTAGACTCAAAGTTGGTCGCATAAGAAGTTTTCTCTGTCCTAATTGATAAAACTGCGAGCTAATAAATGGGTTCATATACATATACATGAGAAGAATGAGAAATTCATACATAACCATACAGTGATGACTTCCAGTATACTTCTTGAGCAATTATCATAGGTTGTTACTATAAACATCATAACAGTTGTCGAATACTACTTCCATCTCTTAATGAAAATTAAAAAATCAGTCGAGCTTTCTATATTTCAAAATATTTAGAGTAAAACATGAATTTTGTATTCATTCCAAGATTTTTTAAACATCCGCATTCTTGAAATTCCTTTCCAATAAAAACATATCAATTCTACCAAACAAGAGATACTCTTATCTTCATTCAAGATTATTCATATGATTAAAATAAATAGGTGAAATTAAATCATGAACAGATATGGCTGAATGATTCAATCAAGATACTCATTCAGAAGAAAACGTATTTTCCATATTTTTATGTCATTAATACACTAAAAATGAATTTTTTCTTTGAAAAGGTTCATATACAGCTAACATGCAAACAACAGTTCAATTGAAATTATAATTACTAACTAGTGAGTAAAAAATTTAATGAAAACCAAAAAAAAATTGATTCAAATTTAAATTTTTTTGAAACACAATATGATTCAAATATACTGTGTCTATATCTTAATTTTAAAAAAAATTTATCATTAATATAAAATTTTAATGTAGAATTTTAATATAGTTGACCTTAATTCTCCAGAAAAACCTAAAGCCAAACCTTTAAAATCAGAATTAAGTGTTCGCAAAAAGTTTGCTACTTCAAACCTCTTCTATTGATAAGAGTATGAAGTTGTTCTTGTTTGTCTTACAACTTTTATTCTCAAGAAATTTTGTACAAATTTCTCTGAACCTTCACCAACAAAATGTATCTTCAACTGCCGTTCCATTTTCAAACTACTGTTGAAGCTTAAAAAAATTAAATCTTCAAACTATTTTAGATTTTGAATCTTGAACGGGTATGTTTTAATAGATCTATTGATAAAAGTTTTCATATTGAAGACTTTACAAGGTTTACTTAAATTGTAATGTATACCATCTAAACTACTTTCTGCCGTATTAGACTTATCAATCTCAAGCTTAAAATGTACTAAGTTAAATCTACTTGTACAATTGGATATTCCCGAAAGCAAACTGATTTGAGCTAAATTAAACTATTCAAGCTTCACACATTTTCTTTCCACTTCAATAATTTAGACAGAAATAGACCAATGGCTACTTTCAAAAAATATTAATAAAGACCTCTGTCAAACTTCTTCTATAGAGTTTAAATATGATTCCAATAAAGACTTTATAATATTTCATTTGAGAATTAAGCAATGACATACTTCATGTTATAATTTAGGAAATTAAATTAATTATTTGAAAATGTTGAGAAAATCCATCAATCTTCATTTCATTTTATAGAGTAAATAAAAATGTTATCATCACGTAAGTTAAAAATCTAATAATAACACTTTTTTAACAAAATATTATTAAAAAGAATTGTTCATCATGATATGTAACTAAATTCCATCAGTAAACTTTCTCATAAATCAGTGTAAAAGTTGAATATAAATTTATGATCTATTAATTATTTTCTAGATGAAGAGTTAAAAAATAGTATTAAAAAGTTATTAAATCTGTGATTATTTGAATATGAATAAAATGCATCAAACATGAAAATAAATCTACAGATAAAACTTCTGATAAAAATATACATATGTCCTAGTTTTTACAATAAACTACATATATATATATAGTAGTTTTGATGTTTTTTAAACTAAATATAAATATTTTCAAAAAATAATCATCATACAAATTTTAAATAAATCTAAAATTAACTTCAAATTCTATTTTGCAACATAACGACATCTTTATAAATATACTATATGTTGAACAAACGATAAAAATATACATGAAGCATTTTATAATCATGTTATGAAGCTTGACATATTTATAAGCTTGAAAGAATAAAACCATCTATTTTGAAAATCAATATATAAAAATGACATTGTTTTGAATTTAATTTTCTTCAGAGCAATGTGATTGAATAAATCAAAACATTTGGTATATGAAGTTTATATTTGATAACGAGTTGTCAAATTGTACACAAAATTGACTCATACACAAGTTTGTTGTATACTTTTGTTTCAATATCGAAAAATTGTTGATGCTAACTCTAAAATCAACTTTTGAAAAAACAGCTTTTACATTAGTCATCTTCACTGTACAAAGTATAATCAAAGTATTTTTGAATTTTAGAAAGTGTTTGACATTGAAAATGTTTAAGTACATTGTTATAAAGTTTGATTTGAAATTTGTTGAATCAATTGTTGTATCATTAATTTCTCATTTTTCTTTTTCAGATTGTTGGACTTTTATCATTACAACTCTACAATTTATCAAACCTAACCCATCTTTATCACAGACGTAATTAACAATTATGAATTAAATTTTAATTTGAAATTCAAAAAAACTCTTCAAAATATAAATTTTATGATCTTTTATAAAAAATATATAATCATTGAATTCATCACAATACATTATGTATATTTTGATGTCTCAATTATTCAATGTTGTTCAAATCCATATCAAGTTATATTGTCTCATGTACTATTATTTTTATTTATTTACATACAAGCTTTATCAAAAAAATGTTGGTAGCAAAAATTAGATTTATTAACTTTGTTTATACAGGTTCTAAAAATCATGAAATTTTAGAACATACATTTAATTTCCATGATAACTATTTTGGTTCAATTTAATTTAAATCAACAAAAAAATTCTAGTTTCAAATCTTTATTGATCATTAAAAAAATAAATCTTATAATAAGTTTCAAATCATTCAAAATACATCATACATTTTTATTTTGATATGTTATTAAATTATTTTTTGAATTGCAAAATGATTCATTCATCAATTTGATGAAGGAATACTTTATTGGGATTCTATCATCAACAATGCAATTTAAATAAGTTTTCAAAATCTAAAATTAAATTCAGAAAGGAAAAAACTAATATTCTATGAAGTCAAAACATTATGTCTGATTTAGAATTGAGAATACAACTACACAAAATTAATTTTCATTTTATAAACTTTAATATTTGTGCTTGAAGGAATATGAAAATCATAACTTTTAGTTGTTTAAATCTGAATGAGAAATAAAATTTGAAAATTCTATCATTTAAAAATAATATTCCTTGACAGATTTCCAAGTAAGATATTTTGAATGAACTGCCTTAGCATGCAATAATAATAACAAAAAATGCATCCTTTAAAAATGTTAACAATAAAAACTTTAATTTATATATAAAAATAGAAAAAAAATTATTTGAAATCAGCTCAAATTAAATAAAAACAATGAATAAGTCTGAGATTTTCTGTTTCTATTTCATAATATATTATCTATAAATATTTTAGTATTAACTCGATGCTAAAAATATATGAAATTTGACTCAAACACATAATAATTTAAAGACAAATATATAAATATGTTTAACTTAGTGCTATAATAACTGTCAATATAGAAAAATAATTGGAGATGATATTGAATTTTTTTGGACTTTGGCTATTTGAATAAATATTAGTTAGTGTAGTTTTATTATCATTGCATAAAACAGATGATTTTTTTTTGTAATATATATTTAGAACTTCAATGAAAACACACTTAATTTGATAAAATAATATTTTGTAAATATAAAAATAAGATAATAAATAATAAGATAAAACATATTAGTTATTCAAAATTACTATTTTTTATACAAATAATCTAAAATATGCAGATTTCTTATATTAATCTTATGACAAGCTCAAAATCATAGGTTAATAAAATAAAACAAATCCATTAAATGTTTTTTTATCTATCAAAATTCATTAGTGAAGGTTCTATTATTATTTTAAATAACAAAATAATTGTACTTGATACATGATATGGCATGCATTTTGAAAATTCGATGTTGTACATCAACTATTAATATTACTTTGTTCTACGAATTTTATGAATTAAATAAAATTAAAAGTATTAATTCATTTGTTTTGAATTTAAAAGCAATCTTTGATTTTTCAAAAGACTCAAGACATTTTTATAGTTCTTCTAAATATGAAATCAGCTTTTGTTTCACTTTCCAATATATTGTGAAAAAATCTCTGGTAAATTTTATTTTTTTAATAAATTCAAAAGATTTTTTATTCTCATTCATATGATATCATTTTAGAATGCTTTCAAATTTAACAAAATAAACGTATATAAAAGATGTTGAAAACTTTTGCAATAAACACAAAATTTCAATATTGGAGTAAAATATGTATTGTCGAGTCACATTTGATATGTAATAATGATAAGTTTTCAAACAATCCATAAAAAATAACAGAAAATCAATATTATATATATTTTGTAGTAAAATAATATATAATATTTTGATAGAATTATCAAAATCTTGATTCAAACAAATTTTACTACAAAGTTGTTGATAGATGATTTTAGATTTTTTTAATATTTATCATAACTAACTTTCATTTCAACAAAATACATCTTTAATGTTGACCAGATTAAATGTATATAAATATGCAATTATTATTATTATTTATTATATTATTATATTTCAATTTTGAATACTTAAAATTAATTCAAAAAACAAAATTTGATT